ACGCTTTTTGCCTCCTAGAAATAAGGAAGTTGGCCAATTACCTACTCAGCCCCCAGGAGTAGCACAGAAAAAAATGGAGCAGCCCTGCTTTAGCTGGAATGAAAGCCATGCAGGCCAATCCTTCACTTTTAGGTTCATCTTCCTAGGAAAATTCCTGCTCTCTCAATCACCATGAATTGATCAGAAGAGACGAAGAAGTAAAAAAAGGCTTTGTCCAAATTATTAGAAAATCTCCACCCATCCCTAAAAATGATACGAATATTCCTCCTTTCCTCAACCTATCCCTCCCTTTCATTTTGTTTAACATATCTACAGCATTCTTGGCTTTCATAGAAAACCTATATCTATGACATTCTAGCTTCTCCTATTCTTTGGTCCAGAATAAAACTTCCTTCAGTGTTTGTTTGGGTACTGGGGATTGAACTCAGGGGCACTCAACCACTGAGCCACATCCCTATTTCGTATTTTATTTAGAGACAGGGTCTCACTGAGTTGCTTAGTGCTTCATTTTTGCTAAGGCTGGCTTTGAACTCTCCATCTCCCTGCCTCAGCCTCTGGAGCTGCTGTGCCTGGCTAGTTCTTGGTTTTTGTTTGTTGGCCCTATGACTCCAAGAGGAAAAAGGACTCCGTTTGGGTCAAAACTGGTAATAATCTCAAAGTGTACCTATACATCCCATTCCTCACTTTTACAATCTTATGTGTCCTGCCCCTTCCACAATTGTGCCCTGAGGCTGTGAGAGGTTTTAGCTTTGTATAGGCAACATGGAGCAAAGGCATTTGTCTGACTTGTAAGCATAGTCCACAGCAACCAGAGACACAAACATGAAAAGAGACAGGTTTTCAAATGATAATAACAATAAACTTACCTGCTTAAGGTAAAGAAGAGACTTAGCATGTCTTCTATAGAAGGGCTAGGAACAAACAAAGTTATCAACTTGGGTTTGATAATAGCACAGGTTCCAGTGGAAATAATTTTAAAAAAGAAAGATAGGAAAAAATGTCTACTAGGAACTTATAAATGTGTACTATCCAATAAATAAGACAATCCTAGGGTATTGTCTCTGTTAAACAGTAGTGACAGCAGCTGGAGGTAGTGTGAAGGAACCTACCTACATGCTAGCAGGCCAGCATGATGAGTGATTTGTAAAACTAACAGCAAAATGCCATGCCAGACCAGGAAGCCAACTGCAGCACCCTGTGGTATTTCCATCCTATTTTCACAGATTTTTTATTTGTTCTTTTTAGTTATACATGGCAGTAGAATGTATTTTGACATACCATACATACGTGGAGTATAACTTCCCATTTTTGTGGTGGTACATGATGTGGAGTTAGATTGGTCATGTATTTATATAGGAACATAGGATTATGTCCAATTCGTTCTACTGTCTTTCCGATTCCCATCCCCACTCCCCCTGTCCAATCCCATGAACCTCCACTCCCTCTTTCCCTCCCCATTGTGAGTCAGCATCCGAATATCAGAGAGGAATTCAGCCTTTGTTTTTTTAGGATTGACTTACTTCACTTAATGTGATAGTCTCCATTTCAAGCAAATGCCATAATTTCATTCTTCTTTATGGCTGAGTCATATTCCATTGTGTATATGTACTACATTTTCTTTATCCATTCATCTGTTGAAGGGTAACTAGGTTGGTTCCATAGCTTAGCTATTGTGAATTGAGCTGTTATACACATTGATATGCCCATGTCATTATAGGATGCTTATTTTAAGTCCTTTGGGTATGTGCCAAGAAGTGGGATAAATGGGTCAAAGGGTAGTTCCATTCTGCAAGAGGGATAAAGCTAAGGGGAAGAGGGCAGGAGAACAAAGAAAGCCTTGGACATATAAAAAGGGCAGAACACCTCACTTCTTGGGATACCAGGATACCAGCTATGGCCCCCTTCTCCCTCCTGGGAGAAATCTAGGAACTCTATGTTACCTTTTTAAAAATAAACCCTGCTTTATATGCTTGCTTCGGCGTGCTTCTCTAATGTTCAAACTTCAACAAGTGAGGAAGCAGAACTTGTCACAGATACCCGGTAGACAGACCATTACCTTGTGCATAGATGAGTGCAAGGTTGTTCTACTATGTCCTATAACAAAGTATAATCATGATATACCAGAACCAGAAAATATCAGTGGGAAATGTCCATTGCCTTACTTCCCACGTGAAGGTGAACTGGTCTTGCTGAGTCTAGTTTTAAATAAATGCTGAAAAAAGGCATTAGCCAAGTCCAGAAGAGCATGCACAGAGCAAAAGGAGGAAGGGACTAACCTTCTCCAGTAGCTGTGTAATATCAGCATGGCAGCATAGATAGGAAGTATCACCTCATTTAACTTTCTACAGTCAATACCATTCTCCAAGTTCTAGTTGGCTTTTTCACTGGCCATATAGGGCCATCTAAGGCATTGTGGGAAGGTCATTAAGTCCCAACCTGCTCTAATTCAACCTCTCAAGTAGCTGGGAATACAGGTGTGTGCCTCCGCTCCTGGTTTGCAATTTTAAAAGCCCTTTCCTACTCAGGAGGCTGAGGCAGGAATATCACAAGTTCAAGGCCAGTTAGGGCAATTTAGCTAGATATTGACTCCAAATTAAAAAATAAAAAATAAAAAGGCTGGGGATATAGCTCTGGGGAGAGTACCCCTGAGTTCAATATCCAGTGTCTCTGTGTGTGAGTGGGTGGGGGTTCTCTCCGGCTACATACAGCATGGAGAACTGGTTAGAGCAGGACAAAGCAAATGGCAATGAAATCTGCACAAGTGATTCCAACAAATGTGAGCAAAGACCCTCCGTGGTGTATTAAGCCACCCTGGGAAGCAAGACTCTGTAGAAAATTGACATGTGTCACTGCTTGGTGTTGTCTTGTGGCAGTTACTAACTTTCAGATCTTCTAAATCAAAAGTGATCTAGGTAACTGTAAAGAAAGGACTAAAATTTACAGATGTTCTAAACAAAACAAAACAAAACAAAAAAAGCAAATAGCAATGAAACCAGCCAGGAGGCTGGTGCAGTAATCTGGACCAGAGGCTGGGAGCTGGGACTAGGGCAAAGGAAGAGAAGATAGAAGGAAGCTGACTGGTAGCTTCAAGGAAGAAATCAACAAGGCTTGTGTGTGTGTGTCAGTTTGAGATGGCATGAAGGGAGAAGCACTAAACACCAAATATTTAAGGAATGAATGAATTCCTGTGCTCCTGCCATATCTTTTTTTTTTCTTTAAGTATTTTTTAGGTATAGATGGAGACAACACAATGCCTTCATTTTCATGTGGTGCTGAGGATTGAACCTGGGTCCTGCCCGTGCTAGGCGAGCACTCTCCTGCTGAGCCACAATCCCAGCCTTCCTGCCATATTCTTTTACTGCATGAAATGTCTTCCCTCTACTTGATACTTCCAAGGATAGTTCCTTCCCATTTCTTCCACAAAACTGTCTCTGATTTTGTCCCTTGTTTCCATTCCATGCCTTAGTCAAGTTTCTAACCCATTTATCTCTTTCACCCAACTTGTAGAGTATGGCCCACTCCAGGACCATGTTTGTTTTTATACTGCCTGAGTAGTATAATCATGAACAGCTGTGCCGACATAAACCTCTGTGACCAAGAAAACACTATATAGATGCTGGAGCTCTCAAAACCATTATCTCACTCACAGAACTCTTGTTAAGATAGGTACTACTGTGGAGGAAATAAACTCAGCTAAAGTGACATGTATAAGGTTACACACTTTAAAGGAAATGGCAGTACTAACATTTGAAATTTAGATACCATGGTTTTATTAATTAATTATTTGATACTGGGGATTGAACCCAGAGGTGCTGGTGCTGAGCAACATACCAGTCTTTTTGTTTGTTTGTTTGTTTCAATTTGAGACAGCATCTTGCTAAGTTGCTGAAACTGGATTTGAACTTTCCATCCTCCTGACTCAGTGTCACTAGTCACTAGAATTACAGACATACTTGATTCCATGGTTTTAAGTGGAATGCTCTCTTTACCACCCCTCATGGAGATTAAATACTCCTATGTACCCAAGAGAACTGTTAATGCTGGGAGTCAGTTAAATGCCACTTCTAGGAATCCTTTCAAGTATTAATTTATTCTAAAATATGTACTTGGCATATACTATAAATACCAAATATGTCATTTAATGTTGAAGGTGCAGCAGCGAACAGGACAAATGGGTCTCCCTTCGACCTCCCAAGTAGCTGGGATTAGAATGCGTTACTATGCCCTGGTGGACCACTTTTTCTTTTGGGCCATGCCAAGGGATAAATCACAGTTCAGGTTCACAGAGCTGATGAAACGAGGTTAATAAATATATAAACAACATAGGTAATACGTGCTACAAATAAAGACTAAAGAGTGATAGGAGTGTATGTATCCTTTTTGTGGGCACTATTTCAAAGAGGGTTGTCAGAGAAAGCCTTTCAGAGAAGTAACATTTGAGATCGAGCTTGGACTTCTGCTGTACACACATAACGAATGACAATTTTCCACGAACCTAGTTCTGGAAATACTTAAAAAAAAAAAAAAAAACAAGTGCCCTGAACGACTGCAAGTGGACAGTTACGGCCTATTAGGCCGCCACCAGGAGAGGGCGCCGCGGGTCCTCTCACACCCAGGAGGCGCCGAGTTCCCCGGCAATGCCAAACTGACTTCTGACACCTAACGATCAAGGCCCCGTCGCCCCGAGCGGAGGTCAAGGGCAGCGCGGGGAACCCCTAAGGCTCTAGGGAATTGCAGAGGGCACCAGGGCCCTCAAGGAGACGGCGACCTCTGGATCGCAAACCCCTCCAGAAGCAGCAGCCCTTGCTCCCTCGGGGAGAGACGGTTTCCGGCGTCACTACACCAGAGAAGACTGCTTGTCCAATCCTGGCTCCTCCTTCCGCTCTTGCTTTTTGAGACCTTCCTCAGACACACACGTGCGGGAGCCAAGCAGGCTGCGGCTACCAATCAGCATTCAGGAAAGGCGCATGCGTAACGGGTAGTGAACTTTGACTTGGAGTCGACCTCCTCTCTTTCCCCCCTCCCTCGCTGTGAAAATGGCGCTGTCCAGGGTGTGCTGGGCACGGACTGCGCTTTGGGGTTCGGTCGTCACCCCTGGACCCTTTGTCACTCGGAGACTGCAACTTGGTCGCTCTGGCTTTGCTTGGGGAGCCCCTTGGTGAGGGATCTGGAGAGAGAAAAGCACTTTTGACGTCTAGGCCTTTCCAGCGGCTCAAACTTGCTTTCTTATTCTCAGGGTTCTACTCCTTGGCCCCGTGATTTTTATTCTTCTTTGCACGATTCGAACTCCGATCCCTGCCAGGGACCTGATTTCTGACCCTCTCGACTCTCAGTGTTTCATATTGGTTGATCCCCACAACCCGGGCTCATCTTTCAGCCTCTCTTTTTTGGCTTAGGTTTTACCGCCGCTATCTCCATCCACCCTCGCTCTGTCCTTAGCTTGCAGTTCAGATTGCCCCATAGCCCTGCACTCTGTCCCCAGGCTCATACCACTTCCAGACTTCTCTTCCCGCTTGACTTCTGCCTGATGTGTCCTTCTCAATCTGATTGCTTCTCTCTCCTAGACCCCAAGATCAAGTTTCTTGAACTTCAGGTTTCAAGTCTTGACATACATTCTCTGAGACTTGTATTTTACATTAGGAATCCCAGGTGTGAGGGGTTTCTAGGACTGGTTCCCAGATAGTCTCTTTGATCTTCCTTGTAGGTCGTCAAAGCTTCACCTTTCTCCAAAGGCAGATGTGAAGAGTTTGATCTCTTATGTTGTGACCAAGACAAAAGCGATTAATGGGAAATACCATCGTTTCTTGAATCGTCATTTCCCCCGCTTCTATATCCTGTACACAATCTTCATGAAAGGTAAAAACAAAGCTAAAATAGAAATAACCGAATCAGCTCTTGGGCAATGTCAGAGAGTTGGAGTAAGTAAAATCATTTACAAGTTCTGCTAAGGGGGTGTGAGCCAGGATGTCTTCTGTTTCATAAATGTTTGAACATTAAACTAATTCTTATAAATTAGCACTTCTTAAGAATATTTCTAGAGGGGTTAGGGTTTTGGCTCAGTGGTAGAGCACTCTCCTAGTGTGTGCCAGGCGCTGGGTCAATCCTCAGCACCACATAAAAATAAATAAATATATGTGTCCAACTATAACTTAAAAAATATTTTAAAAAAGAATGTTTCTAGAAAGATGTTTTGAGAGACAACCTCTGACAACACAGGAGGCAGGAGAATTTAAAGTATATTCTTGTGCTTTTCTTAACCACAGTTTTTGCTATAGTAGAAATTCCGTGTCTCGCATAAGGACAGGGATTTATGGCTGTACAGACTTGCCCTATGATTTATCCCTTGTCATGGCCCAAAGAAAATGTGGCCTAGCTGGGCATGGTATCAGATGCCTGTAATCCCGCTACTGGGGAGGCTGAGGTAGGAGTATCACAAGCTCAAGGCCAGCCTGGGAAATTTAGCAAGGCCCTATCTCAAAATAAAAAGGGCTGAGGATGTAATTCAGTGATAGAGCTCTTCTTGGTTTGATCCCCAAATTTCTTTCATATTCATATTGCAAAAGTATGAAAGAAAAGAAAAAAGAAATTGTGATCTAATGCTTGTTACAAATCTATAGGTAGCATGTTGCCTAGAAAAGGCACTGTGTATACTTGATTTCATCTTTTTTCCCCCTTTATTTATTTATTTAGTATTTTTGAGATGCAGTCTTGCTGTGTTGACCTGACTGGGCTTGAATTTGTGATCCTCTAGCTTCAGCCTCCCCAGGAGCTGGGATTACCATAGCCAGCCTATACTTTTTTTTTTGGTGGTACTAGGGATTGAACCCAGGGGTATTTTACTACTGAGCTACATCCCTAGTCCTTTTTACTTTGTATTTTGAGACAGGGTCTTACTAGTTGCTGGGCGGGGAGGTCTTGCTAAATTGTTGAAACTCACCTTGAACTTGGATCTAGACATTCATCACTGTGCTTGGCTGATTTTTTTAATGCTAGTTACTAAGAAATTATATGTATGCATATATGCATATATATACATATGTATGTGTATGCATATGTATATAATTTCATATATATGTGTTTGTTTATGTGTGTGTGTATGCCGAGTACACGGGCTTATGCGTGTAATCTCAGTGACTCAGGAGGCCGAGGTAGGATTGCAAGTTCAAGTCCAACCTGGGATATATATATATATATATATATATATATATATATTCAAAAGTCCAATCTTGAGCCAGATTGCCTTACTTAAATCCCTTGTCACTTACTGGCCATAAGAGTAGACTAGTGATAGACTAGTGATTCAACTTCTCTGTCCCTTCTTACCTATAAAATGAGAATAATAGGACCTACTTATTGCCCATATAGTTGTGAAGATTAACTAAATCAACACATATAAAGTACTTAGAACAGTTCTTAATCTCTAGAAAGTGCCCAGTGAGTATTAGCTATTAATATTATACTCTGTACTTTTATCATAATACCAATTATAAACTACCACATTGTTAGAACTGAATATTATCATAATTATTGCAGCTTCACAGACCTGAAAAATCACCTATCATTAGCTGGGTGTGATGGTACACACCTATAATTCCAGCTACTTGGGAGACTGAGGCATGAGGATTGCAAGTTCAAAGGCCAACTTCAGCAATTTAGAGAGACCCTGTCTCAATATAAAATTGTAAAAAAGGTTGGGAATATAGCTTAGCTTGCCTACCATGTTCAAGGCCCTGGTTTCAATTCCCCAGTACTGGGGGGAAAAAAAGAGAAAAACAACCTATTCTTAACTATAAAGTGGAGATAAAAATGGCTGCCTTGTCTGATTGAAAAAAAGAGTCTGAGAGTATTTTAATTTGTTTTAAAACCTTCTATTATGGAAATCTTATGACATACTCAGAAGTAGAGAGAATAATATAATTAACTTCCCTGTACTCAACCTCACTTCGGCAATTACCTACTCATGGCTTGGTTAGTAGTTGGTAATAAGATTGGCTCTTACTGCCTTCTATATTATTTTGTAGCTAATAGAGATATCATTTCATTTGTAAATATGAAACCATTTAAAAAAAACTAGTCATATATAAATGTAAGAATTTTCATAGATTAAAGATGTAAAATGCAGTCATAGAAATATGTTGAATTACATAACTTATAAAAGTGTTCCAGAGGGGCTGGGGTTGTGGCTCAGCGTTAGAGTGCTCGCCTCGCATGTGTGGGGCCCTGGGTTCGATCCTCAGCACCACATAAAAATAAATAAATGAAATAGAGGTATTGGGTCCAACTACAACTAAAAAATAATAAAATATTTAAAAAAAAGTGTTCCAGAAAGGAGATAAGTTAATAACTGGCAGGGAATACATAGGGTTAATTGAGGAAGACTTCCTGAGATAACTGAGCTAGATTTTTAAAAAGGAGCAAGTAATGAACCTAAAGAGGGAGAGCATTCCATAGCAGATTACATTAACCCAACCAACTTAGCTGGATGAGAGGTGGTGTGCTGGTAGAAAAAGGATGGGTTGGCCTCGAAAGAGTTTCAAGTTACCTAGTTTAAAGCTTTTATATAGAGTAGTGTTGGGTGGGCAATTGTATGTGCATGTGTGAATGAAAGTAGAGGGGGAACTGGTGGAAGATTCAGTCTTGGATAACATCACACTTTGTCCTCTACTTTAATGAGGCAGGATTACAGATGTTATGGGCTGATGCCAAAAAGGCTAGAAGAATAAAGACAAATATGTGGAAGCACAATATAAAGTTTCATCAACTTTCATACCGGGAGATGGAACATTTGAGACAGGTATGGGCTAAGGGCAGATACCCAGAAATTCATGGTGAGGTAATTACAATTAACCAAGATCTCAAGTATTTTTTTTCTTTCCTTGTTCACCACTGATCAAGCCTCTCCCCTTTGCTGTGAAATCAAGTATTCAACTCAATGAGTATATCTGATGTTTCACCAGAATTGGGTTCTTTCAGAATTACAGCTCTCCTTAACAGAGCTCCATAGAGTGTCTGTCACACTTTTGAATAAAGTTTGTAGGCAATAAAATCCAGCTTGTTTCTAAATATATGAGAATCTTCAAGGATCCATAGGGAAGCAGGAAAGTATAAGTAGTAACTTGATGGGCAGTGTTGAAGAGTAAGAACCTAGGACCCATTATGCAGATCAGGAAACATTCATTGAGGGATTTGATAGAATGTACTAGATATTATTTGGTAAGCAGAAGTGAACAAATTAGAGGCTTTGTGCTCAAGGAATTTACCATCTAGAAGTAGATAGAAATAAACTTGGTAATTCTACTGGGCTGTAATAGAAGTTTACTGCACAAAAGGATGGAAGGGATTGTCCATTATATTAAAAACTTACTTGGGTTAAAACTACATCTGTTTATTTCTGTCTAGTTCCGCCGAGACATCGCCAAGTGTCTTTTCCTAGGTATCATTTCCATTCCACCCTTTGCCAACTACCTGGTCTTCTTGCTAATGTGAGTACATGCTTGTATATCCCCAGCATCTTGAAGATATATAGATTTTTTTAATTAAAAATTATTTTAGGAAGAACTTCATTTCAGAAATTAGGCAGAGGTTATCCAGCTTTCTGCTCCAATCTTCTCATTATCCCAGGGTTCTTAAAAGTCACTTAGTAATACATTGGTTATCAGGATGCATCACAGTGGTAGGTATAGGTGACTTAGCTGCCTTTCATCATGTGAAGTAAGATCATGATCTTCTCCATTATCCCTAAGAACAGCATCCCACTCCCTGAGAAGCATGTAAACTGGGCAAATTTTTTTTCTTCAGGAAAATAATGCATTTCATATTCCGATATCATTCTTTATTACTTTGTATCCTAAGACGATACTTCTAAACTGTTACCTTTCGTGTTGTTCTAATTACCTGTTTCTGAATAGTAAACAACCTCAGAGCTTAATAGCTTAAAACCACCCCATTTTCATGATTTTGTGGGTCAAGAATTTGGGAAGGACTCAGGTAGGTGATTGACTTTTCCCATGCATGTGGTGTTGACATCATCTACTCAGTGATTTTTAGCTACTGAATGTACTAGTTTGGAGGATCCAGGGTTATTCTTTTTTTAATGTGTGGGGAAGGGGTACTAGGGATTGAACCCAGTAGTGTTTAACCATCGAGCCATATCTTCAGCCCTTTTTATTTTTTATTTTGAGATGTGGTCTTGCTAAGTTGCTTAGGGCCTCACTAAGTTGCTGAGTCAGGCTTTGAACTCAGTATCCTCCTGGCTCAGCTTCCCGAGCTGCTGGGATTATAGGTGTGCACCACCATACTCTGTGGTTGCATGACGACCTTTAATAACCTGGTCTTGGAGTTCATAGACTCTTGCTCTATTTTGTTGGCTGAATCAGTTATCCAGATTGAACAAAGGCGACATAAACTTTACTTCTCCATAGAGAAATGCCAGAGAATTTGTGGCTATGTTTTAAAACTACCACACAGCTGGACATGGTGCCACACATCTGTAATCCCAGTGATTCTAGCTGCTGAGGCAGGAGGATAGCAAGTTCAAGGCCAGCCTCAGCAAGTTAGTGAGATCCTGCCTCAAAATAAAATTTTAAAAAGGGCTGGGGCTGTAACTCAGAGATAGGACACTCCTAGGTTTGATCCCTACTACTGCAAAATAAACAAATAAATAAAATTTTAAATAAATAAATAAATCTACCACACATGTGGAAAAGTGAACTTATCCATAAATTTATTACCTTTTTCCATGTAATTAGTAGGTTGTCAACATTATATACAGTGTCCAGCTCTGTCTACAACTCTGTCCAAAACATGTTTGTTACATGTTTAGTTCAAAAGGAGTCATTTTATCTGATTGCTGCATGCTGGGCTATTCTACTACTGCTTCCTTTCATATCATATTTCAGTAATGTTGCTTGAAATTGTGCTTCAGTATATCTTTAAACTTTGAGCTTGAGACTCACTTAAGAACATTGAGGTAGATAGTGTCTCCACTCTTCTTGCTAGCATCCATGTCTGCCAAATGCTTTCTTAGCTTTCTTTGAAAGATGTTAGTGTCAGCAAGTAACTTTGTGATTCTTTTTCTTTTCAGGTACCTATTTCCAAGGCAACTACTGATTAAACATTTCTGGACCCCAAAACAACAAACTGATTTCTTAGATATCTATCATGGTCTCCGGAAGCAGTCCCACTCAGAAATCCTTAGTAATTTAGAGAGGGTCATTCCTCTCATTTCTGATCCAGGACTTCGGTGGCATCTGACAGACCTGTGCACCAAGGTATTCTTCCAATTAACCCTTCCTGCAAACTAGGAGTTTTGTTAGAGCCAGTGTACACTAAAATTAGGTATGGGCGATACTCAGGACCCTCTTAACATCTCCCAATCTTACCTCTCCCAAGATACAGAATGGTACCCACCCAGCCGTACATGAAATCCTGGCTCTCAGAGAATGTTTCTGTAACCATCCTCTGGGCATGAACCAGCTCCAGACTTTGCAGATGGTAAGCACTTTAAAGACTTCTTTTTTCCCCCAGCCTCATGTTATTTCAGGTTTTTGAGTGATACTATTTGATTTTCTCCTCCTATCCTGCCGTATCACAGAAAGCCTTGAGCCGGGCCATGCTTCTCACACCTCACCTGCCTCCTCCCTTTTTGAGGCATCGTTTGAAGACTCATACCACTGTTATTCACCAGCTGGACAGGGCTTTGGCAAAGCTGGGGATAGGCCAGCTGACTGCTCAGGAAGTAAAATCGGTAAGGGCTTGATTGCAACATCAAGCAATATCCCGTAGAAGGCTGGAAGCTTACAAGGACTCCTTGTCTTGCTAAATCTTTATTCTCTCACCTTATTTCTGTGTCATTTTTCTCAATATACATAGCTATTAGGAAGGAACCACCCATAGTAGTTGTACTTCTGGTTCTTCAAACACCAAAGACACTATACTTTAGACCTTCTGTTTTAGATTATAGTTAATCACTTTTCTGTTACTGAAATATACCTGAAATAACTAGTTTAAAAAAGAGGAAGGGTTTTTTTTGGCTCATGGTTTGGGAGGTTTCAGTCCACACTTAGTTGGCCCCATTGCTTTTGGGCCTGTGGTGAGGCTGCACATCAGGGCTAGGAGTGGATAGTGGAGCAAAGCTGCTCATCTCGTGGAATTGAAAGAGAGGTAGGAAGAGGAAGGGGGTAGTGTCCCACAATGCCAGTAGGCCCTACTTTTTGAAGTTTCACCACCTCCCCTTAGCACCAAATAGGGAACTAAGCCTTTAATAGATGGGCCTTTGCAAGACATTTCAAATCCATACTACAGAATCGGCCTCTTTGCTTGTCCTCTATCACTAGTTCAATCTGTCATGGTGAAAGGTCTCTTATGGAATGAGGATGTTACTTATTTAAAGAAGATTTAGGATTATTATTAATATTTTTAAAAATATTTATTTTTTAGTTGTAGTTGGACACAATACCTTTATTTATTTTTATGTGGTGCTGAGGATCGAACCCAGAGCCTCGCACGTGCTAAGCGAGTGCTCTACCACTGAGCCACAACCCCAACCCCAGATTTAGGATTATTTGTGGATTTCATTTCCTTGGCATACTCACTGTGTGATTATTAAGGATGATTTCTCTTCTGAGTGGAATAGGCTTGTTATCTTCGTGGCCTGAATTCTACCCATATTGCAGAAGACAGGTGTCGAACTTGGCTGGGAGAATGGCTACAAATTTCCTGCAGCTTGAAAGGTAAAACAGCTTCCATGCTTATACCATTGAAATCCAAGTCATTTTTGTATTTAATTCTGAGATAATTTTGGATTTAATTATTAAATAATCTTAAGATCTTTATCTAACATTTATATCTAATTGAAAGGGCAGAAACTCACATGCCTACTGCATGCTTAGGCAGGTAACTAGACTGATGAGAGGGAGTGGTAGGACAAGAGGGAGTGCATGCTAATCTGAAGCAGAATTTATCAGCCTTGGCACTATTGATTTTTGAAGGGGTCTATGTGCATTAAAGGATGTTTACCAATATTGCTGACCTTTGCCCAGTAGATGCCAGTAGTACCCTTTGTCACCAGTTGTGACAACCAAAAATATCTCCAGACATTGCCAAATGTTTCTGGGGTTGGGGGTCCAGCAGAAAGGGGCAGAGTTGTCCCAGTTAAGAAGCACTGATCTAAAGGCATTGAATTGAAAACAATAGAAAAGTATTCTACTAGCTAAACAGAAAGTATCTGAGGGCGAGTATCAGGCGTATCAGTCTTCTGTTCAGAACTTTTGCACAGGTTTTGATGTTTTCTAGGCCTTTGCATGTCAGGGTAGGTATACTAATCTTGAAGCTGAGAAATGCCCTAGAGCGTCCATTTCTACCAGGAGAATCCCAAGGTAACAGTAGTGCTGAGTACCATTGCCACTTCTGAATTTTCTACTGTCATCACTTGAATCAAGACATAGAGGATGAGTTAACATGAATATATAGTGGAAGCGAAGGAAAGCATTTGTACAGGGTCTGGAATGAAGCAAGGGAACTTTGAGAACCATCACCTCTGATTCCCCTTTCTTGGCTTCCTGCCTCCAGTTTCAAGTCCTATAAACTGAGGCAAGAAGGTAGGTAGTCCTCTAGCCAAACCACTAACGTTGATGGTATTTCCAGAAGCTGAGCTGTCCCTCTTGCTGCACAACGTGGTCCTGCTTTCCACCAACTACCTTGGGACAAGGCGCTGAGAGAACTGTGGAGTGGATGGCATTGTCCTGCAGTCGCGTAGCATAGCAGTGTGGGACCAAACAGCACTTGTCAGCAGAGTCTGTGAACTTCTCAGGTGTGTGGGAGGCAGAGGAGTGGGTGCAATGGGCTTCACAGCACACTACCCATGAGGGAACTGCAGTCATTCCCCTTACAGCTTGAACTAAAACAAACCCTCTTTTCAGGGATGGCCCATGTGAAGTGTCCTCCCATCTTCACAGTAAGCTGGAGCTGGCAGCAACCTCTTAACTAGTCTTTTCCTGTGTGTGTTATGGTCAGGTCCTATAAAGTCAGTTATTGCCCCCGGTGGGAATCATTTGGCCTAAGATTCATCAACTGCCATGTTCTCTACAGTTATATTCTAAAGAATTTCTGATTGGCACTTGGTATGGTGGCATGCGCCTCCCCGTGGCTTGGGAGGCTGAGGCAGGAGGATCACAAGTTCAAGGCCAGCCTCAACAAGTTAGCAAGAACTTGTCTCAAAAAATAAAAAGGGATGGGAATTTGGCTCAGTGGGTAAATGCCCCTGGGTTCAATCCCTGGTACCAAAAAAAAAAAGAGAGAGAGAAAAAAAAAAATTTCTGGCTGGCAAGAACAACACTGCTTAATCTGGAGCATTTACATAAATGTACATCCTTCAATGTGCTCTTCCATCCTGATATGACCAAAAGAGGGATTTTTGTTTTTATTTTTCACTGGCATGAGCTAACCACTTCCTTTCCTTTTAGAATCCTTTGAATACCTTAAAAAATTTTTTTTTCAAGTATTAACTTATGGGAACATTGTAAAGGAAAAGATAAAAAGGAAGTACCATCTAATCCCTTCCCTAGTGTTTACAGCCTTCATCCCCCATTGTCTTAATTTCTGGGCTGTCATACAGCCCATAAAGATCTTAAATTCTTTGCTACCTCCACTGTGTTGCAGCAATCCAACTGTAACCAACAGTGGCTGCCTTCTTTGGGCCATGGGTCAAAACCCATAAGGTACTAATTACTGCCCAGCCCTGGGAGACCAGGAAGATCTGCATCGAGATAGTAAGTTGGGTTTAGCTTTTGTGTGTACATTCTTGACCTGTAGTTCTGTAATAACTTATTGTAAATGCATGGAGCACTGTTTTAAACCCAAGTAAAGACTGCCTGAAATCAGTTGATGGAAATTACTTATGCACACTCTAATCATTTTGCTAAGGCTCCTTTTCCAAGACTGACATAACCTAACTAATGGGGATTTAATTGGTTGATATGGATCCTTCTGACAGAAGTTTTAAAGGAACCGATTTTAAGTTGATCTTTGGGTGGACATTTTAAGGTGGTAACCAGGAAAAGAGAAAAATGGGACTACAGTCAGCGTGAAGGTCTAACAAGGCAGAAGCAAGGCCTGCTTCAGTTGAAGAGGTGCATAACAGCACCTGAGGCAAGATAGGCTGAAGAGAACATTCTACATTTCCATCACAAAATGTTTCTTTTGTTAACCTTAATTCCTAACTGACCTAATTAGTTTCATATACAAAGCTGGAGAAGCATCTTTTTCTAACAAGAAACTAAATTGTGGCTGGCCAAGATAAAGAATAACACACCATTCTTTTGAATATTTCTTTAATATTACATTTAAATATTCTCTTTAAATACAGCATTATCACAATGTAAAGAACCTAAAGGGGGAAAATTGTTTTCAGAGAACCAGACGAGCTTTGGATTCACATTGAAAATACTACCTGTATACAGTATGTGAGAAAGGAAACTAGAAAATAAGAATTATGTTAATAAGAATCATTTTTTTTTTAATCAAGGCCAAGACTAAGTGGGATTGAAGCAATCTGCTTCTATGATCAGAGGCCTAGCTCTCCTAGCAACCATGAGCTATAATTTTGTCCAACTCGGGTAGCACCAGAAGTGAGATGGACTAGGCTGTAGAAAAGGCCCTTTGCTTGACAACAGTTAATGCTAAATGTTAATATTTAGCATTCAGAAGTTTGGGGTCAGCGTGAATCAGAATTGTAGAGTTAATAAAGGGATGGACTTAGATTAAGAAACTAGAGTTTTGTAGAAATATCATGTATCTTACCTTATGGATTGGCAATGAGTTTAATAATAACAAATTTAAATTCATTTGATCCCAAAGGCTAATGTATTTCTTAGCGAGCTGTTGGAATCCACTTCCTAAATTAAGCAGGAGGCTTCCTACGGAGGGAGTCTATAGAGCTCTCCCTCTCCTAACAAACTTGAGAAAATATTTTTTTCCATAGAACTAAAATCCCAAGTAAGCTTCAGTCTTGGGTTCCATGGTTCCAGTCTAAGGTGGGGGAGTGCAGCTCAGTTTGGAAAAGCATCTAGATCATATAGATTGAAGGTACTTAAGACTCAATTATTTTGTGAGGCTGGGTGATGGGGAGAGATATGGACCTATGTAACTTAAGACCTTCCCTCCAAACATAAAACCAAGCAAAAACAGGAATGAACAGGAAAGGCGGAATGGGTTAAAATATTTATCTGTATTAAATAAATACAAGGCCCTCAGGCTTAGATTTTATAAGTGAAATGCTGCTGCCACATACCTGAAGGCTGCTTTAACGTACCAGGGCCTGGCTATCCCCCAAGAAAAGGCTTTATGAGCAAGATAAGAATAATTATCTCCCCCACTCTCCCTGCCCACCAGAAGTGTTTTTTAACTGGTTAATAAAGCATACCAGATGTGAAGTATGGTGTTAAAGATGCTAAAGAATAGTGTTTTGCTCCCTACCATTTTCATTTTAAAACAGAGGCAAAGGTAACTTTGCCTATAAAATAAATCAGTGTTGTTCATAGAGCAGGTCTTGATTTAAACATAAAAGGAACAGGAACCATTGACAGAGGTAAGAACTGAATTTGAATCCCACTTTATACATTTCAAAGGTTACAATCAGATCTTAATCCTTTGGAACCTGGAAATTCTACGTGGCATCTAAGAATTGGTAGATTCCAATTTTATATCTTATCAAGCAGCAATAAACATTTGCAATTCTTGGGGTTGAACTGGAGTAGTATAAGAACTGTGTAACCCTGTATATCAAAGAAGGACCATGAGTGTGGATACACAAAAACTAGTCGGTGACCTTAAATTGCCACATCTTACATTACATTTAAAGCTCAGATCTCCCAAAGAGAGGGGAAAAAAACCTGTGTGAAAAAGTAAGCATGACACAAATAAAGTCATCTTTCCAGACAGCAGGTTGTTCCTGCAGCCTCCTTTGGATATAGTTAATGCTCCATATAGGCTTCCTAGGGGATGGGTGAGCCCAGCCGGAAGCTGCCCAACAACAGAGCTCATGTTAAGACGATGGCAGAAGCCTCAGGCTCTTTATACCACATCCCCAGCCAATCTCACTTTTTCTTCAAAGGAAAAAGGACGGAGGAAAAAAAGACAAGTTTAACTCTATATCTAAGAACATGTGAAAGAAACAATTCAAGTTATAGACCAAGAATCCCCAGTATGGGGAGCAGGTCAGGGAACACCAAACATGTCAAATATTAACTTATTTATCAAATAGGGGATCCGGGGAAGGTATGGTAAATTTTTAGAAATCCTGGAGGTTTTGTACAGAAACAGAGACCTTTCTGCCTCTCCTCACTAGATCCAACCAGGTGGCCTTTCCAGTAGTATGACTGGATATACCAAAATGGGTATCAGAGCAACCACTGAGAAATAAGCTTTCACTCTGCCTGGAGCCCAGGAGAGCAGGGACTTTTTGCCCTGTGTACAGATTCTCGTGTTCTGGTCCCTACATAAATAGCTGCTTGAATTACCCAGCTCCTCCTGTGAGGTCCTACGGCTTTGTTCCAATGGCCCAGAAAGCTCAGTGTTCAGCACTGTGCAGCTTCCTCTAACCTATCCCCACATCAAGCTGGGGCTGGTTTCCTTGGTACTGTTTCCCTTTTAAAAAATACTTGTACAAACAATCCTTTCCCACCCATTTCCCATAGACCCCAATAAAATAACATGGGAGCAGCAGCTGCTTCTACAGTTTTGTTTTGAAATGGCATTAGATAAAATAAGGGAATAAATAGAGAATGGGTGCGAGGCAGTATCTCCACCCCCACATCACACTGCTAGAGGGAGTTCTAGGGCAGACTCTTCAGGGGGTCGGTCCTCATTCTGCTGGGAGGTCTTCTCCACCCCACAGCCTTCTTCAGTGTCCGTGTGGAAAGGGAGGCTTGAGGGGGACCAAGAGGAACGGAAGTCTTCATTCTCGGGCTCCTCAGAGTTACAATCTTCGGGCAATAGCGCTTCTAGAGTGGGTGTTTTCCCCACCTCTGATTTACAGAGGGCATCTGGGTCTGCGGGGCTGCAAGCCACCAGTGAGGTAACAGGGAGAGAAAAGACACTCAGATCCTTCTCCTTGGGGAAAGAAGCTGTGCCTTCTTCTGTACCAGGCTCTCCTTTCACTCCCAAGACTGGCCTCTGCTCCACCTGGTAGTAGACCAGGGGCCCGCTGTTCAAGTAGGATGGGCTGTTCACCGTGGAAGCAGACGGGTGGTCTGAGTTCTCAGCAAAACACAGGACGGAGGAGCCTGGGGGCAGCTGAGCCTGAATGAGAATGGGGGCTGAGAGGCCTGGGCACAGCTCTTCAGGAACGGCCAGGGGCTCCTCCAGGATGCACACACCCAGGCTCTCAATGCTTGAGTCCAGGCTGGCGCTGGAACCACTAGAGTCTTCCTCGGCCTTGAGCCGCTCCAGTTCCTCTGCGCTCTGCAGGTGCATCACTGCTGTTTCATTCTCCGCGATGAACTCTTGGAAGTCCTGTGTCTCGGAGCCCTGGGCTCCTGTCAGGCTGCAACTGGCAGTGGGTGAGGGCTCCTCCTCTGGGGCTGCCGGGCGGCTCACCTGCCGCTTGCTCTCTAGCTCCAGCTTCATGATGGTGTGGAGGTAATGAGTCCGGACTCGGATTGGATTAAATTCAATGCGCCCAGCCATGTTCCCACAGCCATCCCTGGAGCAGCCACACGGAAAGGACATGCGATCCACCTGAGGGGGACACAAGGAGGGTGAGGCAAGAATCTAACAGTGGAGATAGGAGACATTAGCTGGCAAACACAGGCAGTTGGGATTTGAGGTCTTCCTACGAGAAGCAAGCAATTTAAAACATGCAGCATAAGCTGACAGCACTAGATGGCAGTTACAAGACCACTTGTGCTTGCATTCTAGCTCAGTCATTAATTAGTGGTATGACCTGGACTCATGTATTTCCCCCTAGGGCTTTGTTTCCTCTTCTGAATAAAAAGTGACAAAAATCATATCAAAGGCTCCTTTTGGTTAGAGAATGCAGAGATACCCTAGTGCTGACTGGTCTCAGTAGAAATTTATGTATCTAGGGACTTCCAGAATTTACCTGGTCTTCTGCAATGACAAGCATGGGAAAGTGAGTGGAAGATCTTACTAAAATAAAGCAATACCTTCTGGGAAACTAAACAAAGGTGCCTTAGTTTGTTAAGGTGCTAGAATGAAGGTTCAAGCAATGGCCAGCTGTTTATTATCATTTCACTCATTTTTCCTGGGGATTGACCAGTTTAGTTCTGAAGCATTAACCAAGATAATTTACTTACAGACCAGGGCTATCTGGAAAAGACATGCTTTCTATTTCCAAATTTCCCCTTCATATCCAAAAAGAAAAAACAAAGACAAAAATTGCCAAAAATATAAAACTAGAAATATGAGTAAACAAATATTCAATGTCTTCCTAATGGTATCAACTTAAAGAAATCTGCATACCAGGTCTGTCATCAGGTGTGTAACAGACTGATTCATTATGGGACTTTAGTCTGAAAAACAATTTATTGGCCAGATCTGTTACAGCTATTTGTTACCTAGTTAAAAATCAGAAAGAAAAGGTTGGTTGGGAAAACACAACCAAAACCACTCAGCATCCATATGCTCAGAATACAACTTCCAGACAAATTTTTTTCTCTGGGCTATTTCTGCTATTTTTCTATTGAAATATATCTTTGCAACTGTTCCTTGTCACTTAGCTGATGTTACTTTAAAAAAATTTTTTTTTGTTTGTTTTAGTTGTAGTTGGACACAATACCTTTATTTATTTTTATGCAGTGCTGAGGATCGAACCCAGCCCTCGCACGTGCTAGGCAAGTGCTCTACCACTAAGCCACAACCCCAGCCCGGCTGATGTTACTTTCTTACAGAAAACTAAGGATTTAAGCTCTGCCAACCTAGGCTTGATCCAGAATTAAAGGATCTCAAAGCCATTTTGGTTTTTACAAAATTGGAGTAGAGGTTCTACAAGTGTTTGCAGATAGCATCTCTAGGCCCATCTCATTTCTCTGCTTCCTTTTATCTCAAGGAATCAGGAACAGTTATTAAATGGTAACCATACTAACCTCTGTTCTTTCCTTTGCTAACAGCTGCTTCTTATCACCTCTGAGGTATGAAACACAAAGATAATAGATACCTCCACACCCTAAGAATCCTGTCATGCTTGTTTCCTTTGTTGGTGGAGGAGGGTTGTAGACTTGGAGTGTGTTCACAGCTAGGGGCTTCCATCCCTGGATGGGCAGCCACCCATCTTCCCTGGTACCCGCACCATACCCCATGACCTTGATAGATGCACTATCTCAGGCCAACTTTGACTGACCTGGCATTTAATCCCAGCCTGGCTACAGGCACATGCTTCTGGGTCACAATATAGTCGACAGTCACAACCACATTCTTCCCGAGATAGGCGGATGGCTCGAAGTTCTTGCTTCTCTTCAGCATCAATGCGGTGAACCCCAGAAGCCCTAAGCAGGGCCCGTCGCCTTTTGGTGGGAAGAGGCTGCAGGAAGAAGTAATCATCCACCTCCACATTTTCCACATCAATGTCTTCATCTGAAACATCATCCAGTGTCAGGCCATCAGCCTCTACCGACTCCACGGTCCCATTCTTGGTCAGCTGCAAGAGACAGGAAAGGTTAGCCTCTGAAGCATTAGCAACATAAGCCTCCTCACAGTAATCAGGATAGCAGTGTTCCCCTGAATTTCTGCACTGGGGGAAGATCTGTGTTATTCCACACAGCAGTCACTCTACAGGTGGCCTCTGAGCACTAGAAAAGTGGCAAATGACAAGTCAAGTTTTTAATTTCAGTTAATTTTAAATTTAAATAGCCACATGTGGCTAGTAGGCACTATATTGAAAAGCAAAGGACAAGAGAATAAAGAGCAGAAAGGCAGGAAATCTTTTGTGGCTCTAATATCACCCTGTCAACAAAAGGGACATCATCTTTCTGGGTTCAAGCTTCTCAGAAAACCACTGTCTCATCCTCCCTCCTAGAAGAAAATTTATTCCCAGAAACATTCCCTTCATTTCCATAATTCAGCTCACTTGCTTTTTTTTTTTTTGGTATGGGGAATTAAAGCCAGAGGTGTTACCACTGAGCTCTATCCCCAGTCCTTTTTATTTTTTATTTTGAGACAGGGTATTGCTAAGTTGCTGAGGCTAGCCTTGAGTTTCCAATCTTCCTGCCTCAGCCTCCTGAGTCTCTGGGATTAGTGGTGTGTGTCACCACTTCCAGCTCAGCCCATTTGCCTTTTGACATGGGGAAAAAGGTGTATCAATAGCTGGTTATTCCTGAGATTAACAAATAACCTTGTAAAACACCCTTCAATGTGCACCTCATAGAACCTAAGACCACCTTCTGAGGAAAAGGGTACCTTAAAGTATTAAAGTGTAATAGCAGCTAAAAGGTGTTTGCCAATGAACCTGAATCCTCACAGCATGAACCATTATTTGTGCATGCTCAGAAAAGCTTCATTTTATTGGTGGAAAATGAGCAAATTATCAACAGCTATCAAAGAAAGCCCTCCTAGCCCAGGGTGTAAAAGAAACGTATTCTTTTTCCTTTCTAATCGTTTTTTATTTGACTTCAAAGAAGAATTCCATGTCAGGTAGGGTGGTATAAATAAAACCAAGTGTGCTATCTAAGGGCAGAAATCTGAGTTTTCTGGGCTAAGAGGATAGAAGCCAGGAAATGGAATCTGTGGAAGGACAGATTGAAGACAATCTGTGGCTGAATGAGTTCTGCAAACTCACTAGAGAATCCAAATGAGGCCCCACAGTCCCTGGGGCTCTGGAAGCTGCTGGCAGAATGAAAGCTGAGTGACTGGAGTCTTTGGTTTATTTCATCAGACAACCAGAGAGAGTGCTGGGAAAGTATCAGCTCCTGGGAGAGATGTGATGCAACAAACCTGAGCAGTAAGCTACACACTCAGTTTGTTTGCTTGTTTGGGGGAAAGGGGAAGTTGTCAGGAATGAGGAAAGTAAAGTGCAGGATCTTGGAGTTCCCAGCCTTATTTCTGAACCAGGTAGGCAACTACAAGGTGCCCTTTTATAGACATTAGGATTGCTTTTTTCTGGGTCACCCGTGTGGGCTTCCCTTCTACTATCCTCTCAAAGGAAAGAGATTAGAGATGCAGAGAAAGAAACCCATGTAGAATGTAGATAAGAGAGTTTATTCCGACAGAAGTGGCATTTCAAATCAGTGAAGAGTCTTCTAGTTATTAAGCGATATTGGGACACCTGGATATCCTTTAGGAAAGAAGGGCTATACTCCCGATCATACCATTCATGATAATGAATTCCATATGGACATAACAAAATACAAACTAAAATATTAGAAAAATTGTAAGTAACTAAAGCTGCAGAGCTCCAAAGAGTGACAAGAAAAACAGCTGAAAAGGAAAACAAATATTAGATGGCAAATATATTTTTGAGACCAACTGCATCCCTTATAGGATGCTAAAGACAGGAAAAAAAGTAAACTAGACCTGAGAAAGGTCAAGCAAGGATTTTTCTTTTGACATTTAAAGACATATTAGATGCCACTTCTGCTGGTGCTCACTAAATTAATATCCTGCTAATAAGGAGGAATCTAGTATCTCAGTCCTGGATTTACCTGGCTTTGTCCTTGGAATTCCTATTGGGGGATGGGGCACAGAACTGGATTGGATGGTGTCTTGCTTTGATAGATTATTCCACTACCAGATTTAGAAGAAAGGTGTTTTCTTCTAGGGCAAAGGAAGAGCGCCTTCACTGCAATTAACGAGAAGAGTGTTTACTTGCCCAGCTGTTGCTATAGTAGCAGGAAGATGATAGGGCCAGTGATGGAATTCCTCAGACAGAAGAAAGGGACGCCTGGGTGTCATTCTAGTTAGAAAAACAGGTGTAAGGCTTTTAGGAGTAGGCTAAGGGAGGCAGACATAAAGCTTTCAAGGAGAGATAGGAATAAGATCTGGTCAGCCTATATCCTCTGCCACTAGTTTCCAATTCTTCCACATTCTAGTGAATCTACAACCTTGGAAAAATGCAACCACCTATTTTAACATGGGTCACTATGCTTTAGGCCCAAAAGAAACCTAGGGGAAATTTATTTTCTTTTGTGGTGCTGGGGATTGAACCCAGGGCCTTGTGCATAGTAGGTAAGTGCTCTACCCCTAAGCCACACATACAGCCATGGAAATTTTTGAGACCTGTGAAAACTACAGCCATAGAGTGCCAAAACAGTACTAAAATAGCAAATGGGGGGCTATAAAGAGCCATCTGAGATGGGTCTTTTCCCAGCCCCTTTCTCCACCTAACCTAAAGAGCTGGTGCATATCAGATGATAAGATACAATATTATATGACTCTTAAGTACCTATGTGATAATGTAATGAGGTCATAGAAAGAGCAGAGAATATGAAAAGACCCCAAATCTGTCCCACATATCTGGGCAAGGGAAAAATCATTTGGTAAGAAATTGAACATTGTGTCCTCTTTGAGTTCTAGGGGGTGACAGACCTGAAAGCATTCAGGTATGCACATTTTAAATTAAAAAAAAAAAAAAATTATTGGGTGGTTGGGGGTGAGGAAAGGGAATTCCAGAGAAGGGTTTTTGCTATCTCTGGAAGATACCTCCAGAGACAAAAAAGAAGGGAGGCTCAGAAAGATTTTTTTTTTTTTTTTTAATATTTTTTAGTTGTTGATGTACTTTTATTTTTTATTTATTTAAATGTGGTGCTGAGGATCAAACCCAGTGCCTCACACATGCTAGGCAAGTGCTCTGCCACTGAGCCACAACCCCAGCCTCTCAGAAAGATCTGATTGCAAAAATTGAGACTTCTTTTTAGAAAGCTCTGGAATCTCTATATGACAAGGACAACCATCAAATTTAAAAAAATCAATGGAACTTCATGTCCCTATTCAGGCCCATAAAGAGAGAAACTTGACAATAACCCTAAAATCAACAGACCTAGATCGGTTCCCACATTTTCTTGGCATATGGGAAGTATCAGACCCCGGACCCCTTAGGCACCTTCATTTTCTTGGCATGGAGTTTCTCTTCCTTCAGATGCTCACGAAGAATCTCTCGATGGTTCACCTCCTGCTCTTGTGCAAACTCACAGAGTGTATAGCTGCGTACAGAGTTGTGGCGCTGGGCCATGCCCAGAGAGCTACCACCCTGGCTGGGCACACTGGTGAAACCCTGGCGCCTGGCAAAGTAGTATACCGTCACCTGGTCAAAGCGGACATTTTTCCTCCGTAGCTGCTTCTGCCGCTTCAGGATGGATGTGGCTGAGAAGAGAGCACAGAAAGAGATTATTAACCCAGAGATGGCCTGTTTTGGGACCTTGCTCTTTCTCATTCATCTAGGCTCTTAACTTCCCTCCTCTAACTGCGCTCCTTGCATCTACAGAACTTTCTAAAATTTTCAAATCATAAATGCATAGTTAGAAAGGACCTTGAACCTCACTGGTTCATACTACTGCCTCTAGACTGACATCACCTAATCAGATTACCACAAAATCTATTTTTAGACAGCAGCTGGGTAGAGGACTGCTAGGTGATCTTTTTAAGATATAACAATCTATAACTTAACTGACCACATGTGGCAATTCAAGTTAGTTAAAATTTAAAAAATTTAAAGTCACAGCCTCAGTTACACTAATCACATTTCAAGTGCTCATGAGTCTTATGTGGCTAATGGCTACCACGGGACAATGCAAATATAAAATATTTCTATCATAATAGAAAATTCTTTTGGACAGAATTTACCTATAGCAGGGGGGAGGGCAAGACTTTTCCCCTAAAAGGCCAGATAGTAAATATTTTAGGCTCTAAAGCCATGGTATCTGTTGCAACTATTCAACTCTTATTGTCATAGCATGAAAGCAATCACAGATATAAGTGTGTTCCAATAAAACTTTATTTACAAAATCAGGCAATGGGCTAGATGTGGCCCTTGATTTAGATGATCAGAAGTTCTTTCCAAGAACTAATTGAGCCATAAGAATTAAGAACTCTGGAGGGGTCCCAGTTGTCTAGGCAGCAAGCATGTATTATGTCCTGGTACAGCTCTTAATTTCTTGAACCTCTGGGGGGATTCTGCTTGGGGAAGGATAGAGTCCTGAACTACTTCTTCGATCTAATTCAGGCCACTCTGGGGACCCACAAACCACAACACAAATAAAATCAGTAAGAATAAATCAGATTTCAGTCTACACTAACGGAGCGACAAGGTCCTCTGCAAAGCAAGGAAAAACTGTGATAAGGGCAAATCCTGAAACTGGACAGATGCTATCTGGAGAGCTGCAGTAGGCTCTATGCTTGGGGAATTTGGGCGCAGGCAGGAAGGGAGTGGCTTACTCACGTGTGAAGCTGGCAGTTGTAGGAGGATTGAGGCTGTCACAGCTGTCAGCACTGTCACTGCTGGAGATCTCATCATCTGAGTTGGAAACTGATGAGCCCACATCCACATCATCAAACTTCCTTTTGAGACTCGAGCCCGTGAATGCATCCATTGGTTTCAAAGGGTTTCCTTGGGGAGCCTACCAGGTTGGCCCCAAGCTTCTGCTCACCACCAGCTAACCCGCTGCATTAGGATTCTGCCCAGGGGAAAAGAGGAATCAGCATTCCTAAGACAGACCCCTCCTAAGTCTACATACACAGCTCTCTAACTGAAGAAAGAAAGTACCTGACCTAGCACTAATGTCTGGTTCTCAAGATTAGGTCATTTCTCAACTGATTCTGGCCAGTATGCGCCTACTTTTATTTTCTATCAGCTCCTCCAGGATCAGTCACTCTTAGAATAGTGAGAAGAGTTGCAGCAGCATCCTTCCCAATGGAGGGAATGCCTCTGATTCCAATCCAGCTGGGCTTAGGCTTCATTAGCCCAAGATAACAGTCAATGTTCTTCTGATCACATAGGAGCGGTTCTCCAAGGAACCAGTGGGAGGGACTGGAGATCAGAGGTGGAATTAAGCTTTGCCTAAACCAAGACTAGACCCAATTATTTTTCCTAGTAATAACATAACAGCCTGGCACTTCTCAAAGTGTGTATCTTAAATATATTAATTCCATGGATATTAATAGCTTTTACATGGAAATAGCACTACTGTGTCAAAATTGTTTAGAAAACTGCTTATGGCAGAACCTCTTAGAGGCTTTTAATATATTAATATACACGGCAAAGGCCGGGAGTAAACAGAATGCAGTGTTTCACAAACCTGATTATGGAACCCACTGTTTCTAAAATATGTTAGGGAACAGATAATCCTCAGAACACACCTTTGGAAATACTGCTCCAGGCTCTCAATTTTGAAGGATACTGGCAGTCATGAATACCCTTGACCCAGATCTTCACAAGTATAAACTGTCTCACCAACTTTTAAAAAGGTCAAATTTAGTACTAAAGGTCCCAAGATTACAATCTGTACTGGCTTCAAAACCCAGAATCTGGGGCTGCAGATGTAGGTAAGTGGTAGACAGCTTGCCTACATACACAAAGCTCTGAGTTCAATCCCTATCACCACAACACAAAATAAAAGCAAAAACAACCAGAATCTTTCATAATCTCATACTGGTCTATCATCATCCTCTGTGCAAGGAGAATGTAGCTTTACAATCTTTGACCTCTGAAAAGAAATCAGCAAGGGGAAAACAAATAGCAAAAGAAGTGACAATTTTGATTCTGGTTACATCAATATGGCAGGCAGTGTTTTCAATAAGCTGTCACACAACCAAGGAGTCCTAAAGTTCACTTCCCAGGTACAAATCTTTCTCCTTATCTGTCTTTGGACTTAAGTTCCAGAAGGACATGAATTTGTTCAGGAGAAATGCTGTCAGAGCCAAAGCCATGTGTGATGAGAAGCCTCTCTTGCTTTGCCTCTGTAATGCCAGAATCTCCCCAGACTATGATCTCACTAGTTGCTAATTATGCAGCAGGAATAACAACACTGCCCAGAACGACAAAGCTGTATTACTGCAGAGTAGCTACCCAGGATATATATACCATGGAGGAAAAAGGTGCCTATACAGAGCTATTTTTCTGGCCTGTGTCTCTTGGAAGTAATTTGGATCAGCTCTAGAAAATCAACCAGACCTAATAAGTACTTTAAAGAAGATATTTCCTAATCTATTCAGATCATATCAAAAGTCTCTAATTCAAGTTATAAGATGTACCTAAAAACCCTCAGCTGTCATAGGTCTCAGACAAACACATTTTCAAATAAATTTGGGCAGGAAGGAAAAAAAATAATTAAGTACTTCATAAGAATTGTAATTAAAAGTGAGCCCAAAGTATCTTCTGTTCTTTAGGTTACTAATCAGAGGGCTACATTCTTAGGACATGATGAGAATGGAGAACACTTTAGGGGTTAAGATTTTTGCTAGGCCAGGTGCGGTGGCACACGCCTGAGGTAGGAGGATTGTGAACCTCTGGAGCCTGAGGTAGGAGGATTCTGAGTTCAAAGCCAGCCTCAGGAACTTAGCGAGGACCTAAGCAACTCAGTGAGACTCTGTCTCTAAATAAAAAATCAAAGGGGTTGGGGATGTGGCTCAGTGGTTAAGTGCCCCTGAATTCAATTCCAGGTTCAAAAAAAAAAAAAAAAAAAAGAGAGATTTTCTCTGGATGTAAAGATACCTAACAACTAACAAATTTCTCATTCCACTGTATTATTGGTCACAAGGGCATGAGGGGGACACCTTTATAATTGAATACTTATGTGAATGTAAACAAATAAATAATAATAATGCTGACTACTGAACTTAATTTTTCCTACTTAATAAATACCTTATTGCCCACATGAGATATCAGACTGAGCTGAAAAATCTGCTTTCTCAGAAAGGGCTCAAGTCCACTTTCAGTTTTAACTAGCTCCAGTTAATGCTAGTACTAGAGAAAAATGGCATTTTCCTTGGCCTGGAAACACTCAGGATTTATGATTAGAAGCAAATGTGCACTCCCGTTTTTTCCTCAGGTGTACCTTTGCTTCAAGTAGTTTGAGTGTCCTTTGAATATTTCTCTTTAAATCCCACACTAGCTTGGGTCTGGTCCAAAATCATCTTTGTTACTAAAATTCTCCACTGTCTTAACTCAGTTGCCCTCTAGAGTATAATTTCCCTTAGGGTTGCCTTTTGTACACTCAAGTGCAGCAAGGATTGCTGGCTGCTTTATCTAGTCCCTTCCTCCTTTTTTTCTATGTCTTCCCCACTTCTACTTCTGGAATAGTGGTTTCTGGGTAATGATGGAGGTAGGTAAGAAAGAAAAGGAGAAAAGAGAAAGAGAGGAGGGGGGAAAGAGGTGTATGTGTGTATGTGTGTATGTGAAATCAAGAGAATCCTTGAGTTATCTGAGAATAACCAGAATCTATATGTATAAATAATGAGCCATGATCTAACTATCCCATTAATAAGATCTGGGAATGCAGTTCAGAGGTAGAACGCTTGCTTGAGGCCCTATGTTCAATCCCCAGCACCAGAAAAAACAATAAAATGAAAACAAGCAACAAAACAAATAAAACTGCATCAACTTGGATGGAACACCAGAAAATCCTTAAGGAGACTGCACTGTTCTAGTTCTATTCACCTTTCCCAAGATTTATGAGCATCACTTTTTCTGTCATTAACTTCATTATTTAAATTTTTAAAATTCCAACTATCATGGCCTAATAATAAAAGTTTACATTTCAACACAACTCTCCTTGCTCAACTCTCTGATGTGAACTTGACAGATAAAGATGCTCATGAGCATCAAGAACAAACTTCCCAACCATGTTCACTGGGACCTGAAGAGATCTTTCTTTGCAAGGGAAACAACTAGAACAGGTTCTATACTTGCCCGTTCACGAAACTAATCTTTCATACCAGAACTAAAAATGAGTCATTCCCACTTCTCTTAAATATCCACTGGTAGAGGATCAATGCTTGTGTTCAAGAGATAATCTTATAAGTTACACTCCGAGCACTTAAACCTCTATGGAAATAATCAAGGTGAGACTGGAAATGCAGTCATAACTGACAGTTAACTGTCAAAATGACCAACTCAAACAACAAATACTTTTGGACAAATAATGTTTCCCTCTATAAAAGCTTTTAAATGCCGGTGAAATGAAGGTCAGCTGACACTTTCTGGCTATATGCCTTATGGTCTTTTCTCAAGTGTTGGTAGATGAACATTTCCAAAAGGTATATAAAATTGTTCAGATCTACAGTATGTAAAAGACTTTATAGACTGGCACCAAATAAAACCAGAAGATGTATTTCAGTACTAAGATCTAAGTTTTTTCAGGCCCATAAGGTGTCCTATAAGCACCAAAACAAACCCAAAGTCCCTGCATATGTGAAACTAGCAAGAGGGTCAGCCCAGTAAAAAGTTCTGTGGTAGAATATATATGCAAAGTTTAGGTAATATCAGCCTCTTTCTTAAATGAATCCAAAATAATAAAACAGGGTATATCTCTCAGAAGAAAGTCTCCCCACTCAACTGGAACCCAATCTTCTGCTAAAGGTCAAGAGACCAAAATCTGTAGTAAGATCCTATGGGCTACCCATAACTGAGTTAAAGGAAGTAAGGCTTACTGCTAAAGTGTCAGAATAAACTTGACTGAGATAGTCTGCCATGCTCCCCCTTTTATGAGACACTGTGATTGATTCTCAAATACTATGAATTTCATAAATCCATGTGTCCTTGTGATCACCAGGTTCACAAATTTAAAAAAGCACTCAAGTAAAAACCTCCTGTTTAAACAAGGTGTTTAGAGAAAGCTCCCTTCCCATACCCACTCGGGTTTTTACCCATCACTAACACAAGGTTAGAACTGAACTTTCCATGTCTGAACTACCATCACAGGGAGGACACAAGATCTTTGTAGTAGAACTGGAACATGATGCTGCATTAGCTCTCAAGGATATCCCGTCATTTATAACTCTGGCACACACCAACATCCTGGCTTTGGAGATTTGCAAGATGGAAAGCCAGTAAAGAAAAGGAAAATCTGAATTAACTACGGATTTACCATGAACTGAAAACTGCAGGACAAGGGTACAGTGTTGTCTCTTGGGGATAACTTCTAACCTTTCATAATGAAGAATGGTTTGTGTGTCACATTGCCACTCTAAACCCCTTTAAAAGGCTGAATCAAGGCTAAAAGGGATGGATGGCAGTCGGCTGCGTGTTTGGGCCTGTAAAAAAAAAGATCAAGCTAGCAACCAGGGTAAGTGATGCTTTCATTTTCATACACAACGCCAGAAAAATGGGGGATATCAGGAACCAAGGCCTAAGGGTCATGTCAAGTCACCAGTTCCCTTTAATAAGCACCCCTGAGGAATCTTTCAGCTCTCGACCCATTTCTGATTCCTGCTAACCTTCCCGCTCATTCCAATCATTTGCAGCCCGTACTCAGCCTTCCTCATCCCTTCCTGACTGCTACTCACAAATTCCCAACCACTCCTCCCACATTTTCCTCTACCCGCCCCCCCCCTTCCCTCCATCCTACATCATTCTCCACTCCTTTCCGAACTCAACCTCATCCGCAATCCTGCCGGCTTCCAAGGCGCCCATCCGTCTCCCTCGAGCTACCCCCGTAGTCCGGGCCCGCATCCTCGGTGCCCCTCGCTCCCACGCCTCTCCCCGACTCCGTTCCTTCCCAGCGGCGCCCCAGCTCCCCGCCCTCCGACCGCTCCCGTCCGAGCTTCCCTCATTTCTGACCCCTCCATCCGCAAGGCTCTGGGTTTGACCACTCCTCCACAGCCGCCCGAGGGCCGATCCCGAAAAAGGACGAGGCGGCACCCTCCGCCCCGCACCCCCAGGCCCATTACCAGCCCCGCCGCAGCTGCCTCCTCCCGTGATGGTCTCTGCCGCCCCCGCTGCCGCCGCCGCCGCCGCCCTAGCCCGGGTGGGAAGGAGGGAGGAGTGAGCGAGTCCCGGGCCCCGCGGCGACGGTCGGGGAGCTCCCAGGGCGGCAGGGCGGGGAGGGAGGGTGGGTGGGCAGCTTGGCCGGCCGGCCGGCAGGCAGGCGGCGGGGGGCGGGCGGCTCCGGCAACTCAGGCGCCCCTGGCAGCACAAGCACAGAACCGCCCCGGCTCCGGCTAACAATAGGCTCCGGCCGCAGCGCTCCGGCTCTTATAGGCGCCGGCACGTCCTAGCCGAGCCCCGAGGCAGGCTGGGAAATGGAGTCTACGTACCGGCCCCATGCCCAACTGCATGCTGGGAGTTGGAGGCGGCGAGTGCCGCAAACCAGAAGCCGGCCGGCGAACAGGCTACGGAGACCACGTCCGCAGCTGACCCTGGGAAGGCGGGTTTGGTGCCGCTGCAGTCTTTTGAAACGGAAGGCAGGCGCCCCTCAGCTATACATCTTCAGTGACTAAACGAATTCTCCCTTTTTTCTTTATCCAGTACCACACTCCCATGCCTAAGGAACATAATCCTCCTCACTCATGGGTCTTAGTCTTCAGCAATATGACTTGCTGCAACCCGCCCAAGTTAGAAGAAAATACAAGCATTATTTTGAGTTATCTACATATATGATGGGCTGATTTAGGTGTTTTCTTTCAAAAAAAATTTACCATTGTCTTTGATATTCACAACTTTGCAGCCCATCTTTAGGATGGGGAAAACAAAGACTAAGAAATCCAAAGTAACTTGAGACTTGCCAAGGACATAGAGCTTTCCGCCCCCCCCCCCCAATCTCGTTTCTCCCTTGACTTGTAAGACTTTGCTGGATCTAGACACATCCTGTAGTGCTCCATCCTTAATCCATCATACTGTTGTGCTCCACCCCCAATTTGTCATCCAGTTTCCTTCTACCGTCACTGTCCCATACTTTGCTTCAATACAATAACAGTCCACTGGTATCCTTGGGCAATTATGCTTTTCTTATCTCAGGACCTTTTGTCTAGAACCTTTTCCACCAGCTGACCATAAGCTTACTCCTTCACTTAGTATCTGTTCAAATGTCCTCATATCAGAGTTTCTTTAGCCATATTCCTAGAAGTGCTTCTCCTTAGTCTCTATCCTTTTGCCTTACATTTCTCCTAGCATTACCATCTGACATATTTATTGTTTTTCAGTCTTCTTTCACTTGACTGAATTCCACCAGTCAAAGAAATTGTTTTGTTCACTGTATCCTTAGTACAAAACCTGGTATTTGACGTTTGGAAGCACAGTAGATATTTATTGGAGGGACTTTTTTTTTTGGGGGGGGGGGTTTACTAGGATTTAACCCAGGGGCACTCTACCCAGTCCTTTTTAAATTATTTTAATTTTGAGGCAGGGTCTCCCTAAATTGCCAGGGCTGGCCTTTAAGTGTAATCCTCCTGAGTCTCTGGGATTACAGGTATGGGTCACTGTGCTGGTGAGTAGCAGGATTTTAACTCAAGTTAGGCTAGTTCCAAATGCTAGTGTATTTTTCACTGCAACCAAGAAATTAGGAAGCCAAATCTACTGGCTATCAAGCCATCTCACCTTTAGAATTGAGAGGATGAATGGCTTAGAAAATTGCCAACTATTTTCCAGAGTTCTCCCTTAGGGAACGTCAGAAACTTTAAGCAGCTAGGACACCATAATGCAAAATGAAAAAACAACAGGTTATCATTAAAAAAAAAAAAGTCAATTTGGGGGGTACCAGGCACTAATCATCTACCTGTTGGAATTTAGAATGAATGACATGTGATCAAGAGCATGGAGCCAGACTGCTCCTATTCCTCCACTCACCTGTGGTGTGACCCTGGGCAAATTACATAACTTCTGTGCCTTAGCTTCTTCATCTGAAAAATGGGGATAACAGTATATATCTCACAGGATTTTATGAAGGTTGAACAGTAACTATATTACTAAATGTTTACAACACACTCAGTGCTATGTAAATATTATTTAAAATGATAAGTTATCTAATCTTTCTGGGCAAAGACAAAAAAGAAAAGGCCCCAGATCATTATGTGAATCAGTGGGCTAACAAAAAAAACAAACAAAAAAAAACAGCCTAAAGGGGATGTTGAGCAGGCTAAAAAGGTATCTCATAGGCCTACACATTCAGAGTTCCAACAGTCATAGAAATTTGTCAACCTCAATGTCCAGGTTTATTGATTAATGCCATCAAACTAGAAAGTAGCAAAGGCTGGGTGCAGTGGAAAATGCCTGTAATACCATTACTGAGGAGGCTGAGGCAGGTGGATCACAAGTTCAAAGCCAGCCTGGCCAATTTAGTGAGATCCCGTCTCAAAACAAATTTTTTTAAAAAGGTAGCTCAATGGTAGTACTCTTGCTTAGTATGCAGAAGGCCCTAGGTTCAATCCCAGTACTATAAAAACAAGAGGCCAGGCATGGTGGTGCAAGCCTGTTATGTTAGTGGCTCAGGAGGCTGAGACAGGATTGCAAGTTCTAAGCCAGCCTCAGCAACTTAGGTCCTAAGCAACTCATCGAGACCCCATCTCAAGTTAAAAATAAAAAGGGCTGGGGATCTGGCTCAGTGGTTAAGTGCCCCTGGGTTCAATCCCTAGTGCAAAAAGAAAGAGGGGCTGGGGTTGTGCTCAGTGGTAGAGCACTTGCCTGGCATGTGTGAGGAACTGGGTTTGATCCTCAGCACCACATAAAAATAAAGATATTGTGTCCACCTAAAAGAAAGAAAGAAAAACAAAACAAAACAAAAAACTAGAAGATGTCAAATCATGAGTAGCACATTCTTTGAAAAAACAGCAGAATTCAATTTTGCAAGAAGCTCTAGATCCGTTAAAAGATCATCTGGACTTCTAGCAAATATCACAACTACGCATCATGAAGTCACTTATTCACTCTATTTAGCCCTTATGATACAATCACTAGGTTAAGTTACTACAGTTGTGCCAGTTAACCCATAATAACTGCAATTCTGCTCCAGTAAGCAGGGCCTTTGGAAGGCAAAGGTCTGATGGCAGCTGCTAAGGAAGCTCAAGTGCATAAGAATAGGAAAAGAATTTCTATGTCTTTGAAATAGAATTACAAAGAAAAGTGAGAAAAATGCTAATATTATTATGTTAAGAATAACACTGGATGTGCCATTCTAAATATTACTTCTTTGTCCAGACCATGCTGGAGCTTATGTATGGACAGCTGGGAATGCACACAAATTACTAATAGCTAGTTTTAGGGGTTAAAAAAAATCAAAAGACATAAGACCAAAAACAAGCACTGCAAACAGAAGCCACAAAACCCTGGCAAGGTAGTGCTTGCCTATAATTAACAGCTACTCAGGAGGCTGAGGCGGGAGGATCGCAAGTTCAAGGCCAGCCTGAGCAAATAAGCAACTAACCCTGTCTCAAGATAAAAAATAAAAAGAGCTGGGAATGTAACTTAGTGGTAGAACACGGCTGGGTTCAATCCCCAGAACAGCAAATAAATGAATGAATGAATGAATGAATAAAAAACAGCAGCTGTGGATAAAATCCCCAAAGTCAGATTTCGTGTTCTGGGCAGTATTTATATATCCATCTTGCAGTTATATCTACATAGGAAGGCAATCTTATACTCAGGAGTATCTTTAGTTTACTGAGCAACTAAATAAGATATATAAAGTACAAAATAAAATTGTTTTATAGTCATTTTCCATTTGAATCTCTGAACAACCCCTATTATTAAACCCCTACTGTATGAATTATTATCTCCTTTCTTCTTCTTCTTTTTTTTTTTTTTGTAGTGCTAAGGATTGAATCCAGGGCCTTATGCATACTAGGCAAGTATTCTACCACTGAACCCTAGCACTAGAGAGTAAGCTTAATAAATTCAAGTAAGTGAATGAAAATCTGAAGCAAGATTATAAAGATGTCTAGGGAAAGATATTAACTAATCCTTTAAATGGAAAATTAGACAGAACTCAAAAATAAAACAGGAATCTGTAGTGATTAAAATGAGGAACATATACCTCATCTTAAAAAAAAAACTAAGGAAAAAAAACTAAAAAACTTAGTTTTTTTTTTTAAGATGAGGTATATGTTCCTCATTTTAATAAACTAGTTATTATTCATGTCCCAAAAGATCACATACACAGTAGAAAATAATATAATTACAATATGATAGTATTATTTTAAAAAGCAAGTTTCCTTATAATTGAAATTAGTCATAAAAAATTATATACAACTTTTAAATTTTTGAATTTGAGAATGCAAATGCTTGTCTTACTTGCAGTTTTTCAGGTAGCATTTTAGAATAGGCCTGTGTTCATAAGGAACAACATAAAAGAAATGTGAAAATAAAGAGGGAAGATGTAGAAAGATTGAGGAAGTGGTTCAAGGTTGAAGGTAAAATACAAGGTCATTGAAAGAAGCAAGGAATCCGCAGAATAAAAGCAGTTGCTGGTAGCATTACTGTCATGTCACATAGGACATCTTTCCCAGATCATTCCTCGTTTAAGTCTTAGAATTAGTATGATGAAGTAAAAATGTAATCATAAACTAAAAATAAATATTCTAGCAGAAAAAGCTTTACCCCACAACTAAGAAAATAAGAGCATTTATGTGAAAAACAACGCTCTTTTCACAGAGAGCTATCCTCTCTGATACAGAATATAAATGATTCAGCTATGTGGGACATTTGTGCCATTCCTGTTAAGACTGGAGTTCTTGTGACAAACCAGTAGGGGCCATAACAAATCAGATACCTGTAGAAGAACCATCCATGGCCAAGAAAGCAGACTAATGATTTAGTAAAATAATTAAATGGTTCTACTTTAGCTTTCAGTGCCAAACTATCTAAAATTGTTGGTCCTGGCCAGAGAAAAAAGTTACAATGAGGGAGAAGTCAGTCCTGGCTTCAAATATTTATACTCTAAGTAGGTTACTTTCAAGACTGAATGATGACGTTTCAGTCAGCCTTTCATGGTGATTTGCAAAACAGTTCAATCTCTGCAGCAACCCTATACAAAAGACTATCTTAGAATATTTTGGTATATAAAGGGTTTTGAGAGCAGTCTTCCATTACACATAAATAAAAAATGGCTGGCTCCATTATCACACAAACTTCCCATCCTTACTTACCAAACTTCCCATGTACCTCCAGCTCAGTGGTGAGATTATGCTGTGACCCTTGCAAGCAACCCAGTACCTCAAAGTGACTGACTTCCAGGAATGAGAACACTTGCCTCTCAAGTAGACCTTGCCTTTTTGGGTCGTTAGCTATTTCTATTTGTTATATTATAATCACTTTCCAGCCAATAAGACCATTTTAATTTCTCTTCCTTTTAAAGGACTTCTCAAATAAATCATTTATGTGGGCAAACATTCTTATTGGGCCATAATATTGGACAAAAAATCCTATTAGTTAATAGCACAATTCATTTAGTGACTAATAATCCTTAAGAGTCCTGCTACAACTCCTCCCCCCTTTTATTTCCCAATTGAATTATCAAGTCTTTATACAGATTTTCCTACATGGAACCTACTATTCTTCAAGGGAACAGTATAGACAATAGTAAGTCAAATAGAATGCTATTCCACTTCTCAGAAGGGTCTAAAATACAACCATTCTGCTTCTTATATGCCTTCAATACAAAACACAAAACCATTTACTTTAAAATTTACTATCACAAAAAGATAAAATCCAGCAAATTTTGCTTCTAGAAATATATTTTAGAGATACGTGCAAAAAAAAAACTCATAAAAATGAAAGTTCAAATATATTTAACCTGAATGGCATCCATAGAGAATAGTTATTTTAAAAAATGAATACAACTATAAATTCTAATATAGAAAGATAAAGATGTTCAATGTATGTTAAATACAAAAATGAAGTTGCAGATTATTAGTGTAACATGAACCCTTCTGAGAGAGAGAGAGAGAGAGAGAGTGTGTGTGTGTGTGTGTGTGTGTGTGTGTTTGTGTGTGTATACTGGAAAGGGGAAATGCAATGATTACCTCTTTAGTGTGGGACTAAAAGATAAGGAGAAAGTTATGCCCTTCTTTATTGTTTTAACTTATAATTTTGTGTATTACTTTTAAAATGAAAAAGGTAGTTTAAAATTTACATTTAATTAAAAGGATCAATAGTGAACATATGCAATTTTGTAAAGCAAATAAAATAATTACAATGTTCTATTACTATACCAATTCTTACCAATTATATCACACTGGCACAATAAATGTGTTGGTGGAGAGCTAAAGAAAGCCCAATATATTTTCCGGTAAAATTAAAGATCTGTAATTACAATGCTGTATAAATTCATTTTCATAAATACTGTTCTAATAAAACCCTGACTTCAAGTAAAAATTAATAATTATAATTTATAGTCAATATATTAATAGAATTCTATGCATCATTTGCAATACATAAGAATCATAGATTCACAGATTTGAAAGGAACCTTAAAAGTCACCTAGTCCAACCCTGCTATCCTAACATCAAAATAGGGGGGAAAAATCATAACCAATAGTAACCTGCTAAGGAAAGGAGAGCCAACTTCACTGAAGCAGAGACTCAATCATAGGAACACAAAACAACTAAAAATTTCTCCTCAAAATGGGGCATCAAGTAATCACTCTTTAAAAAAGCATTTTGGCTTAACATGTTGAGTTGCCCAAGTCAGTTTTAAAGAAGTCACTGACTTGGGGATGGGGTTGTGGCTCAGCGGTAGAGCTCTTGCCTAGCACATGTGAGACCCTGGGTTCGATCCTCAGCACCACATAAAAATAAATTTAAAAATAAAAAGTCACTGACTTAATTTTCTGGTTTTAAGATTCTCAATTTGTTTCAAACCAAAAGAAATTAGAATGCATTGCAGGTTGAATTTTTTGTAATATTTATTTTTTAGTTTTAGGTGGACACAATATCTTTATTTTGCATTTACGTGGTGCTGAGGATCGAACCCAGTGCCTCGTGCATGCTAGGTGAGCACTCTACCACTGAGCCACAACCCCAGCCCGCAGGTTGATTTTAATAAATAAAAATATCCGTAAAAAAAAAGTTAAAACTCTGTCAAATACTTTAAACACACAAACACACACACACATCCAATACAGAATCTTAACATTGTCTTTGTTCACCTGAATATAAACTGTGGAGAGATTTCTAAAACTACAAGAGAAAAAAGAAGATCCATGATGATACACACACACACACACACACACACACATATACATACACACTCTCTCTCACTCTCTCATTCTTAAGGAAGAACAAAAACATATGGTAAGAGTGCAAATAGGACAGGAATTAATATCTTCTTTTTCTTTTTGATACTGGGGACTGAACCCAGAAGAGCTCTACCATTGAGCTACCTCCACAGCCCTTTTTAAAATTTTTACTTTAAGACAGGGTCTTTCTATATTGCCCAGGCTGGCCCTGAACTTTCAATCCTCCTGTCTCTGCCTCACAAGTCACTGGACTTAGGTATGTGTCACCATGTCTGACAGGAATTAATTTCTTGTAAAGTTTATATAAAATAATACTACATGAGTAAAAGTATTTCCTATACCAAGAGAAGATTCAGAGGTGAAAGCAGTAATGGCCTAACTCATATATAAATGGTTTAAAAATGTCGTTCAAGAACAATGAATTTTAGGAGTTACAGATAATCCTGAGTTTTTACCACCTCTAATTATGATTCTGATAGCAGATGTCACTTTAAAAGTATCTTTTGTACGTCTTGATTTGTTCATTATTATTTAGGTGTGGTTTGTCTTTTTCAGTGGTTAATTCCTTAGTTCCTCAGAAAAGCCATGGTAAGAAACAATGGTGAGCATAGGCTATAAAGAAGGGTGGCACTGGTGATACTGGATGGAAAATAATATCAGTTAGCCTAGGTTTGGATTTCAGCATCACTACTTGCTAGTTGCCTGTTATTTCGCAAGCTTCTTAGCCACTATGTGTCTCCATTTCCCCATCTTTAGTTAGGGATCACTGTAGTGCCTACTTCATACAGGAAGTAAACAAGATAATCCATTTAGAAAATTTTCTGCCTGGCTCAATAAATAACTGGCCAAAACAACTACCGGTTATAGTATCACAAGTGAACCAGAAGAAATTCTTCGTGTATTTCCCCTCATTGATGAAGTTTTCAGGAACCAATTGTGGCAAAAAAACAAAACAAAACAAAACAAAAAACAAAAACCTAAAACAAAACAAAAAAAGAGATGACAATATGGTTGATGCAAAAGAGATTGAGGACCTAGTCTTATGAATATAGATGTTCATTTTTATATTAGAAAAAAATTACATGACTCCATATCACAAAATTTAACATCTTTCCATTAAACATCACACAATTCCCATCATTACTATGCCCTACATATAACCTAAATGATGTGGAGTTCCTACTGATATCCAATAACAGGGGCCAAAAGTGTAACTAAAAAAAAATCTCTGCAGAACTGCATGTTGGGCAGTGGTCTGTGTGTGACACAGAGCTTAGGCCAACACAGAGGGCTGGGATTCTGCCTCCAGGGTCTAGATTCCCCCGACACAGTCAGATGAGCCAGATTCCTGCAGACCTTCAAATCTCCATTCACATGCCAAGAGGGCAGTTTTCAAGAGGTGAGGAAAGCAGCAGCCACTGAGCATGGGATGCTCCACTCCTACTTCAGTATAATATGATAGCTATCATTGGTTTCTGCTGCAAAAAAGAGAGAGAGAAAGGGAGAATTTTTAGTCACCTTTAAAACAGTAGGAGAAAAAAACTATGGTAAGGTTCTTGTGAGAGGGAATAAAGCCAGCACAAGATAAGGGTTGCATACTAACTGGGCATGGTGACTCACACCTGTAATCTCACAGCTTGTGGGGCTGAGGCAGAAGAACAGTTCAAACCCAGCCTCAGCAATTTAGTGAGACCTTGTCTTAAAATAAAAAACTGGCTGGGGATGTGGCTCAGTGGTTAACCACCACCATTGTGTTAAATCCCTGGTTTACAAAAAAAAAAAAAGCAACATACTTTTCATTTAGCATAGAATGCTTTGTACAGATGGAGCCTGACTTATGATAATTCCATTTATGATACTTAGGCTAACAAAAGGTGCAAAAGTGATATGCATTCAGTAGAAAATGTAATTTGAATTTTGATCTTTTCCTGGGCTAGGAATAAGTGGTATGAAACTCTATCATGATGCTGGGCAGTGGCAATGAGACACAGTTTGGGGTAAGCAGCAAGATCACCTGGGAAAACAACTTAGAATTCTACAATGTGCTGGGTTGTCAAGCTATAAGGTTGGATAGGTTAGGTGCATTAAATGCATTTTCAACTTTTGACATTTTCAGCTTAGGATGGGTTTATCAGGATGTGACCCTATCATAAGTCAAGGAGCATACATAATAAATAGGTATTATAGGGGCTGAGATTGTGGCTCAGAGGTGGAGTGCTCGCCTAGCACGGGCGGGATTCGGGTTCGATCCTCAGTACCACAAAATAAAGGCATTGTGTTGTGTCCATCTACACCTAAAAAATAAATGTTTAAAAAAAATAGGTATTATAAAAATAATGTGCCTTGATTTCCTCATTTGTCAGATGGAAGAGAATGGGGGATGGGGTTGGGGCTCACTGGTAGAGCACCTGCTTTGCATGTGTGAGGCACTGGGTTCGATCCTCAGTACCACATAAAAATAAATAAATAAAGATTTCCTAATTAAAAAAAAAAGATGGAAGAGAATGGTAGAGAGTTGTCAGTGTTCTTTATTGATTTTGATAATGGTAAAAAGGCCAACTCACACAAAGAAACAATCTCTAGTAATACCACTTTTTTATTGCATATATGATTTCTTCCATATTTCTCTTTAAAAAAAGTCAAATATGAAAAGAGCTTTATTTTCCTTTGGTTCTGGGGATTGAACCCAGGACCCAGTGCATGCTAAGCATGTGCTCTACCACTGAACTGCACTCACAGCCTGAAAAAAGGTTTTGAAAGACTTAGAAACTAAAAGTTATTTCTCTTACAATTTTATTACCTTTCATTGTGTCCAGAATAAAACAGGCTTCTTCCTGAAAGTTCTGTATCATCTGAAAAAAGGCAAGAAAAATTTCTGATTATTAAAAACTTTGGTTTGCTATATTATTTTGACAATGTGGCTTTTCATAATGTTAGATTTAAGTAAAAAACATAAAAAAGACCCTATTTCTGTGTTCCTAAGGTGGGGTTTATATGATGGGATTTATAGGTCACAAATAGAGTATACCTGAATTTCTATAGAATCATGTAAGTGTTTTCCTCCCAATTTCCAAAAGCCTGCTTCATGAGTCTGTTTGTTTTTAGGGGGGTCCTCCCCATGTCTGATTTTGAAATTTTAAAACAGAGGGGTTGGGTTTGTGGCTCAGTGCTAGAGCACTCGCCTGGCATGCATGAGTCACTGGGTTTGATCAGCACCACATAAAAATAAAATAAAACGTATTATTTCCACCTACATTAAAAAAGAAATAAATAAAACAGAGGCTCTAGAACAGTCATCTTAAAAGTGGAGTATGCATTTCTCTTGGTTAACCCCCAAATTTTCCAAGGGGAACAAAGACACTAATAGGCCCTTATGTGAGAACTGACATCCAGGTCTTCAACTTTCTTAAATCCTGTTTAGTTTTTCTTCTCCATTTCCCCATCTCAAATTCCCATCTCCCTTTTAACAAAATAATAGAATACTACTGAGAATACTAGAGTACTACAAAGGTGCTCTGGCCTTGGGTGTAAAAGCATCATGGTGCCAAAGCGGAATTACAAAAGTGAATTCTAATGACTGGTAACACTCTTGTATGAGTCACATGGTTTCTAATTCTTTCCTTTTGTTAGAATTGAAGAGTTACCTAATCTCAAATTGTCAAATGATACATGACTCAAAATAATTTGTGATAACATCACTATATAATTTTTAGTACATAACAAAAAAACCCAGTGTTGAGGTTGTAACAAAACTCTATCAGTTCCTATTTATTAATTTAGGTAAATTAGGCTCCACAGCACCTATATCTAGGGGGAAAAATCAAGATAGAATTGATGCTGAATGCTGAGTCATTTTAGCAATTAATAGGCAGTATTCTTCAGACACATTAATTGTGTGCTAGGGTGAGGGTAGGGAATGAAACTATTCCATTGACCTCATTAATAGATGCATGCATAATAAACTTATTTCTTTTTCTGGTGCTGGGGATTGAACCCACTAAGTATGTGCTCTATCATGGAGTTACATCTCTAGCACTTTTTCATGTTTAATTACTTATTAAACATGTAATATTTTTGTTTTTTTAAAAAAGTTACATAATTGTGATAATTCTATTCAGAAGAAATAATTTTTGAACTACTAATGAAAATAAAAGATTTCCTAAAACCTCTTTAGTTTTGGTTGAAACAAATTTTTGTTTCAGGAACTGGGACTGTGGGTAAGCAGTACAGCGCTCGCCTAGCATGTGCAGGGCCCTGGGTTCAATCCTCAGTACCACACAGATAAATAAAATGAAGATACTGTGTTCAACTACAAATAAAAAAAAAATATTTAAATTTTTTTTTTGTTTGTTTCAAAGGAATATGGCAGGATAATCAATAAAAGACATTTAAGCATTAAAATGTTATGGTCGGATACAAGTCTATGGGGATGTTGAGTGTAGTGGCTATAATCCCAGCTACTCAAGAGTGTCAGGCAGGAAGATCACTGAATTTGAGACCAGCCTGAGAAAATTAGACCCTGCCTCAAAGTAAAAAAAAAAGGGGGGGGGGGGCGGTGGTCAGGCGCAATAGTGCAAGCCTGTAATCCCAGCAGCTCAGGAAGCTGAGACAGGAGGATTCCAAGTTCAAAGCCAGCCTCAGCAACTTAATGAGTCCCTATCTCAAAATAAAAAATAAAAATATGTCTGGGGTTGTGGCTCAGCGGCAGAGCACTTGCCTTGCACGTATGAGGCATTGAGTTTGATCCTCAGCACCACATAAAAATAAATAAATAAAATAAAGGTCCATCTACAATTAAAAATAATATTTTAAAAAAAGGACTGAGAATGTGGCTCAGTAGTTAAGTGCCACTGGGTTCAATCCCCAGTACCAATAAATAGATAGATAGATAGATAGATAGATAGATAGATAGATAGATAGATCAATTTAAAAAAATGGGCTGGGGCACCCCTGGGTTCAATCCCTAGTATTATAGGAAAAAATAAAAATGAAGTCTATGGGAGAGGCAAATGGAAATATGGGTTAAAGGAAACATAGGAATAATATAAAAATTCTAACTCATAAAGAAAATCATGGTTATGTATTTTTTTAAATGGTTGGTATCTGTATTTAATCACTCCTATAATTCTGATCCTCTATATGGGGGGGGGGGTGGATCACTGTTGTACTTAAATTACATGGAATGCAATTAGAATAGTAATGAAACCATTTCACTCTTTTTTGGGGGACAGCAGGGATTGAACCCAGGGGTGCTTACCCACTGAGCCACATCCTCAGCCCCTTCCCCTTTAAAAAATATATATTTTTATGACTTTATTTATTTACTTTTTCTGTGGTGCTAAGGATCGAACCCAGTGCCTCACCCATGCTAGTCAAGTGCTCTACCAATAAGCTACAGCCCCAGCTTCCCGCCCCAGCCCTTTTTATTTTTTATTTTGAGACAGGGTCTTACTATGTTGCTGAGGCTGTCTTTGAACCTGCAATCTTCCCAAGTCACTGGGATTATAGGCATGCACCACCGCACCTGGCTAACCATTTCATTCTTAAATATCATGATGTGCGCAGGAATGTCATCTTTTACAACTCCTTTTCCCCCAAATGGTAAATCTTTTACAACTATTTTAAAATTTTTAAATTAGGCTGAGTTTGGTGGGGCATGTTTGTAATCCTAGTGACTTGAGAGGTTGAGACAGGATGGTTACTAACTTGATGTCAGCCTTGGCAACTTTTGAGACTCTGTCTGAAAAGAAAAATATTAAAAGAAGGTTGGGGATGTAGCTCAGTGGTAAAGCATCCCTGGGTTCAATTCCCAGTACCAAAAAAAAGAAAAGAAAAGAAAAGAAATTATGTTATGAAGGAAGTAAGAAAGCAAAAACAGTCTTAGCCACAGACATAGTGGAACATAGTCCCAGTTCCTTAGGAGGCTGAGGTAGGAGGATTACTTGAGTTCAGGAGTTCATGGCCAAAACTCACATTACTAAAATTTGTGGTGAAAATGAAAATATAACAACAGACACTACCGAAATACAGACAATAATTAGAAGCTATTTTGAAAATTTAGACTCTAATAAAATAGAAAATCTAGAAGACAATGACAAATTTCTAGAGACATTTAAACTACCCAAGTGGAATCAGGAGGACATAGAAAATTTAAACAGATCAATTTTAAGCAAGGAAATTGAAGACACCATCAAAAGCCTACCAACAAAGAAAAGCCCAGGACCAGACAGATTCTCAGCCAAGTTCTACCAGACCTTCAAAGAAATACTAACACCAATCCTCTTCAAATTATTCCATGAAATAGAAAAGGAGGAATTCTTCCAAACTCATTTTATGAAGATAGTATCACCCTGATACCAAAACCAGACGAAGACACATTGAGGAAAGAAAACTTCAGACCAATATCCCTGATGAACATAGATACAAAAATTCTTAATAAAAAACTGGAAAATCACATACAAAAACATGCTAGGCAGTGCACCATGATCAAATGGAGTTCATTCCAGGGATGCAAAGTTGGTTCAACATACAGAAATCAATAAATATAATTCATCACACCAATAGACTTAAAGAAAAGAATCACATGATTGGGCTGGAGTTGTAGCTCAATGGTAGAGCACTTGCCTAGCATGTGTGACACTGGGTTCAATTCTCAACACTGCATATAAATAAGTACATTAATTAATTAATTAATTAAAGGTACATCAACAACTAAAAAAAAAACATGATTATCTCAATAGAAGCAGAAAAAGCATTTGACAAAATACAGCATCCATTCATGTTCAAAACACTAGAAAACCAGGCATAGTAGGAACATACCTCAACATTGTAAAACCAAACCCAACACCATTCTATACAGAAAAATTGAAAGCATTCCCTGTATAAACCAGAGCAAGACAAGGATGCCCCTTTTACCACTTCTACTCAACATAGTCCTTGAAATTCCATCCAGAGCAATTAGACAGAAGAAAGAAATTAAAGGGATAAGAACAGGAAAAGAAGAACTCAAACTATCCTTATTTGCTGAGGACATGATTCTATATTTAAAGACCAAAAAAACTTTTAGAAATCAGCCTGGAATGGTGGCATACGCCTGTAATCCCAGCAGTTCAGGAGGCTGAGACAAGAAGATCACAAGTTCAAAGCCAGCTTCAGTAAAAGTGAGGCACTAAGCAACTCAGTGAGACCCTGTCTCTAAATAAAATACAAAACAGGGTTTGGGATATGACTCAGTGGTCGAGTGCCCCTGAGTTCAATCCCCAGTACTAAAAAAAAAAAGTCTTTTAGAACTCATAAATGAATTCAGCAAAGTAGCAGGATATAAATTAACACCCATAAATCAATTATGTTCCTATACATCAGTAATAAATCAATTGAAAGAAAAATTAGGAAAACTATCCCATTCATAATAGCCTTGAAAAAAATAAAATATTTGGGCATCAATCTAACAAAAGGTGAATGACCTCTACAATGAAAACTATAAAATACTAAAGAAAGAAATTGAAGACGACCTTGGAAGATGGAAAGATCTCCCCTGTTCTTGGATAGGCAGAATTAACATTGTCAAAATGGCCACACTGCCAAAAATGCTATACAGATTTAATGCAATTCCTAGTAAAATGCCAATGACATTCTTCCTAGAAATAGAAAAAGCAATCATCAAATTCATTTGGAAAAATAAGAGCCCCAGAATAGCCAAAGCAGTGCTCAGCAAGAAAAGTTAAAGCAGGAGGCATCCCAATATCAGACCTTAAATTTTATTACAGAGCTATAGTAACAAAAACGACATGATATTGGCACCAAACAGACATGAAAACCAATGTCACAGAATAGAAGACACAAAGACAAACCCACATAAATACAGTTATCTCATACTAGACAAAGGCACCATAAACATACCTTGGAGAAAAGATAGCCCCTTCAACACATGTGCTGGTAAACTGGAAATCCATATGTAGCAAAATGAAATTAAACCCCATCTCTCACCCTGCACAAAACTCAACTCAAAGTAGAACAAGGACCGAGGCATTAGACTAGAGACCCTATATCTACTAGGAGAAAAAGTAGGACCCAAACTCCATAATGTTGGCTTAGGAACTGAATTCCTCAATAAGACTCCTAAAGCACAAGAAGTAAAGTCAAGAAACAATAAATGGGATGGTATATAAAAAAAAAATTCTTCACAGCTAAGGAGACAATCAAGAACATGAGCAGAAAGCCTTAGGAATGGGAGAAAATCTTTGCCACCTCAGAGCATTAATCTCCAAAATATATAAAGAACTCAAAAAACTTACTACCACAAAAACATATAACCTAATCAATAAATGGGCAAAGGAACTGAACAGATACTTCACAGAAGAAATATAATCAAGCAATAAATATATGAAAAAATGTTCAACATCTCTAGCAATAAGAGAAATGCAAATAGAAACTACACTGAGATTTCATCTCACTCTAGTCAGAATGGCAATTATCAAGACTATAAGGAATGATAGGGGTTGGGATTGTGGCTTAATGGTAGAATGCTTGCCAAGCACATGTGAGGCACTGGGTCCGATCCTCAACACCTCATAAATAAATAAATAAATAAATAAACAGACCGATAGGTAAATAAATAAATAAAGGCATTGTGTCTATCTACAACGAAAAAAATATATATATTTAAAAAAAAGGATATAAGTAATGATAAATGTTGGCAAGGATGTGGGGGAACAATTACACTCATACGTTGCTGGTGGGACTGCAAATTGGTGCAACCATTTTGGAAAGCAGTATGGAGATTCCTCAGAAAACTTGGAATAGAAACACCACTTGACCCATTATCCCACTCCTCAATATATACCCAAAGGATTTAAAATCAGCATACTATAGTGATGTAGTCACATCAATGTTCACAGCAGTTCAATTCATAATAGTTAAGCTATGGAACCAATCTAGGTGCCTTTCAACAGATGAATGGATAAAGAAATGTGGTATATATATATACAATGGAATATTACTCAGCCATAAAGAAAAATGGAATTGGGGCTGGGGCTGTAGCTCAGTGGCAAAGTGCTTGCCTAGCACATGTGAGGCACTGGGTTCAATCCTTAGCACCACATAAAAATAAATAAATAAAATAAAGTCATGCTGTCCATCTGTTAAAAAAAAAAAAAAAAAGAATAAGAATGGAATTATGGCATTTGCAGGCAAATGAATGGACCTGGAAATTATCATGCTCAGTGAAATAAGCCAATCCCCAAACACCAAAGGCTGAATTGCATACTAACACACAATTGGGGATGGGGGGCAGAGAATAGAAGTTCACTGGATTAGACAAAGGGGAATGAAAGGAAGGGAGGAAGTTTGGGAATAGGAAAGACAGTAGAATGAATTGAACATAACTTTCCTATGTTCATATATGAATACCTGACCAGTGTAACTCCACATTATTTACAACCATAAGAATGGGAAGTTATACTCCATGTATGTATAGTATGTCAAAATACATTCTACTGTCATGTATAACTAAAAAGGACAATTAAAAAAAAAAAAAAAAAAAGAGTTCATGGCCAGCCTAGGCAACATAGTGAGATCCTATCTTAAAAAAAAAAAAATTAAATAAAAAAGAAAGTTTAGAAAACTCCTGTCTAGAAAAACCGAACTCCTCTCCAGTGGAACTAATCTTGCTGTTGTTACATGGTGCCCTGACAAACTAATTATCATCTGTACGAAATTCAACTGTACTAAAAAACCTACCTCATCACTGATGAGCACATGGATTCCTGTTGGCCCCTGCTTATAAATCTGGCTGATCTGGCGAGGAGAAATGCTGAAAAGCTGAGCAATTTTTTCTGTCAATTCAACAGCTGTCAGTTCTTCTAGATAGATGGCATGGTATACTGCAAAGGAGAAATAGCAACAGTAGTCAATACAAAGGTTCTCTGACTTTGCAGGTAATCTAATCATTAAGAATGCTCACTTTTCAGAAGGACTCACAAATCAATCCTAGCTGGTACTTGCTAGCTGTGTGACTTAGGGCAAGTTAATATTTAATATCCCTAGGCCTTATTTTCCTCATTTAAATGTTGGAGATAACAATAAAATTCACAACAAAGAGGAAATTATTAGTTGTAAAAATTAAAGTGTGTAAAAAGTGTTGGGAATAGTACCTGACATATGTTAGGAGCTCAATAAATGTGAGCAATTACCAACATGGCCATAAATCATCTCTTCACCTTTCTTCATCTATCCTGGTCTGCCCAGAACAACCTACCGAAGAAAGTACCATTTGAGTCTCCGTCCTCATGCTTCTGTTGTGGTTGCTGCTGCTGTTGCTGCTGCTGTTCCCTCAACTGTAATGATTCCTGACAGACGTAAATGGTTAACCTTGGACGCACCATCCTATGCAGTAAAGAAAAGGGTTGTTAATCTTGCATATTTTATGGTAGGTTCATTTTAAAGAAAAACTTGTATTTCTACATTAATAGTATAGAGCAGGGATTGAAAACAGGCAAATCATACAATTCATTTGCCAGCTTTACTAGTTCACCTGTGGTGGCTTTTGTTTGTTTAAACTGAACTAGTTCCAACAGGAAGCATCAGATAAACCTGTGAATTTTGACTTTTCTTGAAAATTCAAATCTAGCAGTCCAGGAACCCCATTCTCGCATGAAAGCAATCATGTTATCCTTACATGGTGTGTGCATTCTTTACTGAACCCTAAATTTTGACTGTCATTCCTTTACAATATCTATGTGGTCCCTGTAGTCATTTAAGTTTGTGATCTTTGGTGAAAAGGTAAGAAATGTCCAAAAATGTATGAATCACTGCTTTATGGATAAGGCTCAAGATAAACATTTCACTAAAAAATGCTAATATAGTAAACTGAAGAATCTTACCTTCTCCTAAGTATTCTAAGCCCTTTCTGGCCTCTTACTTCTTACTCTAAGGTATACATTTACCTCTTGATCTGATCATCTAATTCCTTTCTATTTCTAAACATTCTTTAGATAATACACTTAAAATGAAAGAGCCATTCTTTTTCCCCTAAGTTGCTTACAACTGAATTTCATCTCTTTCCTTAATATTTTCCAAGATTATAGCCAATCTGACTCAATATCCCTTGTAATATTATAAATATAAATTCTCCAAAATTTATTAGTTATTTGGGTCTATTGTCATTGACCTCTGTTTTTTCCATCAATATTACTACTATGTATTTAAAACTATTTTAAATCTCAAAAGAACTTCAAATTAGTCTTTATTACAAGTATAATTTGTAAACATACACTTAAATAATTCCAACCCAGGGCTGGGGGCAGGGGGTATAGTTCAGTGGTAGAGCACTTGCCTAGCATGCCTAAGACCCTGCATTTGCTCTTCAGTACCACATTAAAAATAGATAAATCCTCCCCCAAAACTTTGGAATGATCTGTTCTCCAGTTAAAACTGATTCAGGGCTTTAGTACCTGCTGTTTCTTCTGCCTGGAATGTTCTTCCCTCATGACTCCATAGCTCCTTCATCTTTCTCATAACAATTTAAATATCCTCTCCTCATAGACCTCTTTCCTGACCATCTTCTCTGTACTCTGTAGCCCATTCTCTTGTTTTTGCACATTTGTTTTATTTGCCTTTAAAGCCCTCACTATCCAAAAAATTTATTATTTATATATAGTTTTCTCCCTACTAGAAAGTAAACTCACCAGTTAAAAAAAAAAAAAAAAAAAAGAGTAAACTCTGTTGTAACAATGGGTACTTGTCTGTTTTGTTCATGAATATGTCTCCAGAGCCTATAATAGTAACTGGCTCATGATAAAGACATACAGATTTATTGGATGAAAAAAACTACCTGGAAATTGGGCTAGGGAAGTAGCTCAGTGGAACAGCACTTGCTTAGCATGTACAAGGCACTGGGTAAGCTCCCCACTACTGCAAAAAATGGGGTATTATGGGGAATCAATTGTAAGTTTAAGAAAGGATTTTTTTTATCTGTGTTTACTTGGTACATACCTAGTATTTTCTTTTTAAAAAAGTTTTGACACAATGCATTTAATTGTGCAAAATATTGTGAAGAATCCCTGAACCCAAATTCACCTGAAATTCAACTTCATTGATATATATATATATATATATATATATTTTTTTAGTTGTAGATGGACACAATACCTTTTTTATTTTTATGTGGTACTAAGGATTGAACCCAGTGCCTCACAGCACAAGTCCTGCACTCTACTACTGAGCCACAACCCCAGCTCCTTCATTGATATTTAACACTAATTACATACCGGCCTTTTAATGCATTAAAAAGTCTGATTCCATCTGCAGGGCCACAAATTTGGATCACATCATCTCTAGTTAGTTTCAATAAATCTGCCCCTGGAATAAATGTAAGAAAATGGGTGATAAAGGCAAAGATTCTCTTTGTTAATACCTATTAAGATGGACTCTATTACAAGTATACCTCATCACCGGTAATGTTATAACCCATGATCTTTTGCATGGTACATAGGCTCTTTATTACCTGGTCCCTGCATCATCTCCTAAGTCTCATCCAATGAACTTCTTCACTTAACCCTATGCTTTCATCATGCTGGTGGTGCTGAATGAGCAAGTTGTTCTTCCTGCCTGAAATATCCTTGACTGTCTAACCAATAGGTTCCTCTTCTCATCCCTCAAGATTCACTTCACATGTCACATATGTTCCTTAATACATCAGACTCTCCCCTGAACATCTCACTTGATACAAATGTGTGTTGGAACATTATCTACTGGGATTTTATTTTGATTTGAGCTTTTTATATACTAGATGATAAATGAAGTCTTTGATCAGGAAGTATGCCTTATCAATTTGTGTATTCCTACTATAGAAGATGGTACATAGAAGATGCTAAATACTACAGTGACAGAGCCACACCTATGTTTAATGTTTATAGCAGTTCAATTCATAATAGCTAAACCTTGGAACCCACATAGGTGCCCTTCAGTAGATAAATAGATAAAGAAAATGTAGTATATATATTCAATGGAATATTACTCAGCTTTAAGAAGAATGGAATTATGGCATTTGCCAGTAAATGGATGGAGTTGAAGAATATCATGTTAAGCAAAATAAGCCAATCCCCCAAAACCAAAGGTGGAATGTTTTCTCTAATATGTGGTGCTAGTTCACAATGGTGAGGGCACTAAGGAAGAATAGAGTTAGGTAGTGAAGGGAGGGGAGGGGACGGGATATGAGGATAGGATGGACAGTAGAATGAAATATACATTATTACTTTATCTCTCTCTCTCTCTCTCTCTCTCTCTCTCTCTCTCTATATATATATATATATATATATATATATATATATATATATATGACTAAATGTAATTCTACAACATGTACAATCAGAAAAATGAAGGGGCTGGGATCAGAGCTCAGTGGTAGAATGCTTGCCTAGCCCATGTGAAGCTCAGGGTTTGATTCTCAGCACCACATATAAATAAATTGATCACAATAGTATATAACCTTAGAAAAAAATTCTCATTTAAAAAAAAATGAGGGGCGGTGGCTGTGGCTCAGCAGTAGAGCTCTTGCCTTGCACGTGCGAGACCTTGGGTTAGATCCTCAGCACCACATAAAAATAAATAAAAAATGAGAAATCATACCCCATCTATGTATGATATATAAATGCATTTTATTGTGATGTATAACTAATTAAAACAAAAATTTAAAAAGAAGATACTAAATAAAAGGGAACTGTATAAATAAAATACAATATAGTGATATCAAACGGAAAATTTTTACCTACAAATGCCCCTTGATAAAATTATGTATGGAATATACATTTTTAGAAGTACTGCATGGAATAAGTATTTTAAAATTAAAGTGAATTCAAACCAAGAAGTGTTTCTTTTTAAGTCTCTCACAGCACAGCTCCAGATGGTGACAAAGTCTGAAAGATTTATGAAATTCATTTCATCAAAAAAATGCACTAAGCTGGGCACGGTGGCACATGCCTGAAATTCCAACAACTTGGGAGGCTAAGGCAGGAGAATTGCAAGTTCAAGACCTACCTCAGCTAATTAGTGAGGCTCTAAGCAGTTTAATGGGACCCTGTCTCAAAATAAAAAAAATAAAATGGCCTAGGATGTGGCTCAATGGTAAAGTGCCCCTGGGCTCAATCCCCAGTACATAATAATAATAATAATAATAATGAAAAAATACACTAATGAAATGCATATAGGGGGACTTGGAACCCACATAGGTGTCCTTCAGTAGATAAATGGATAAAGAAAATGTATTATATATATTCAATGGAATATTACTCAGCTTTAAGAAGAATGGAATTATGGCATTTGCTAATATTAGAAACCTGTCTATCAGGATAACAGAAGACCCTTGAATGATTTGCTCATATCAAAAGTAAAGCAAATTTAACCTGAGAAGTTGGTAAAAAGCCTGGTGAATGTAGAAAAACGGTTTCGATGCAACCACTGCTGCGCTTCCTGAGGTGTGGTTGTTGGCAGGAGGTTCTGAAAGGAAGAAAGCATGTTTTTGGTAATTAAATAGATTCACTGGTGTATTACATAGCCAGACATCACCCACCCACCCACACACCTACTCAGACAGGCTTCGCTTGTTTGGAAGTTGTTTATACTACATCAATCTCTTTCTCTATCCAAGAAGCTCTATCCTTATCTTTCCCTCCATCCTTATCTTTCCCACTAAACTGTAAACTCCTCAAATTGAAGGGTTCCTGTAGTCCCACTCAGGAGGCTGAAATAGAGGGATCCCTGAAACTTACAAACTTGATACCAGTCTGAACAACATAGTGAGACCCCTGTCTCAAAAAATCAAAACAAAAAAAATCCCCAAGGGTCCTCCATTACGTGTTCGTATTTCCAGTTCCTACAGAAAAAAATTTAATGAATGCTTGCTTCATGAATGAATAATATTCCTTAAAAATTGGGCATATCATAATTGCAGAGTCATCAAAATATTATTAGACATTGCAAATAATTGACATTTAAATTTAGACTTACATCAGTGACTGGAGGGGGAGGATCTGGCTGGTGGTTTGGTGAACCATTTCTAAAGAAACATTTAAAATGAAAGCATCAGTCTATGACTCATAGTAGGGTCCATTATCTCATTCTTCATCTTCACAGTAACTCCTAAGCCAGAGACTTAAAAAATCTGTATACTCTCATAAAGCATTCTTATTCTTTGATCAAAACTTTAAGTTATGTGTTAATTAACCTGAAAACTTCAGGGAGGAGAGAAGAAACTGTCATTTGCAACACTTTTATTACTAAGGAAATTAAGAAAACTATCAAAATTTTAAAAAGTGAAACTGATGAGAAAATAATAACATAACATAAGGGATTAGAGATATAGCTCAATGGTAAAACACTTGCCTAGAAAGCACAAGGCCCAGGGTTCAATTACCAGCACTCATGAATAAATAAATGCTATTAACAGAAACGGATTAGAATGAAAAATGTGGGGATATAAAAGTACTAGTATTTTACTACTATTAGTACTATATTAAGTAGGTAAACATATACATAAAGGAAAAATACTGAAAGAAAATTTATGAACTGCATACTTTTCTAATGAAAAACAATTACTTTTAAAACAGCTTAAAAATTAGTGCTATCTAATTTGTGATCCAAGAGTTATCTCCACACCCGTGATTTTTCTTTATGCTTTCTTTTGTCTATGGATCATCTTTTTTCCCTAACGCTTATCTTTTTTATGGAAAAAAAATTATCCTAATAATGAAGTACAGGACAAAAAAAAAGAGAAAAATTTAAAACACAAACTTTAACCCACATATAAATATTTAAAGTTCCTATAAGAAGATTGCACCATCCTTGTGGATGACAAGAAATTTTTGTTTCCAAAAGGTCTTTTTTTTTTTTAGCTTTGTACAGTGGTGTGCACCTATAGTCCCAGGTACTTCAGAGGCTGAGACAAGAAGATCACAAGACCCTGTCCCTTAAAATAAACAACAAAAAATGTTTTTTCTCTTTTTAGCCTTAGCTAAAATTTGGTATTAAAACTTAATATAATTTTAAAAAACAGTAATTAATTTATCTCAGGGCCCTGGTTATATATAGACCTTCTACAAATAAATGCCTCTTTTATGCTTAATTACTTCATTTTAAATATTTAAGCTACCTTAATTAAATACTTTAAGAAGTAGGTCAAACATAGAGCCTAAATAAATCCAAAAAATAAACATTATAAACAAACAATATGCTCACACTTTTTAGTAGCCTATTTCCAAGTTACAATATGGCTATGTAGAATACATGTTAAATGCTAAGACTGTAAGATTTTTAAAGACTTTTTAAAATTGGGGCAGGGTTCTACACCAACTTTCAATTATCTCTGATAGTGAAATGTAATATGCCAAGATTAAATGCAATCCCACAGATAATTCTAAAACTTTATTTTAACCATCATCTTCAAACTACTTTCCCCAATGATCGCAGATCCACAATAACTAGGTGTTAGGAACATTCTTAACAAGTAATAAAACAAATTTTAGTGTCTATACAATTGTTTTTCCAGTTGCCAATGACCACTTCCTGGTGCAAATCTGACCACGATGTGACATAACCACAACACGAGCAAAAATAAGGTAAATCAAGAAGCCTAAATAAGCAAGACAGGTGCTGGTGCACACCTGTATCCCAGTGGTAACAGAGGCTGAGGCAGGAGGATCACAAGTTCAAAGCCAGCCTCAGCAAAAGAGAGGTGCTAAGCAACTCTAAATAAAATACAAAATAGGAGTGGGGATGTGGCTCAGTGGTTAAGTGCCCCTGATTTCAATCCCTGGTATCCCCCAGCTTTCCAAAAATCACTAAAATCTGACCATTAATGCTCTAATAGTTAACGCCATTTCAAGAATGAGGGGAAACAGAGGGGAGGGAAAAGGGCTATATATAAAATTGTTTCAATCTCCTTTGAAGATAATCCAAACCTCTAATACTGTAAAACTTCATCAAGACTGACCAAATATTGATTTGGAAAGTTAACAGAAACTAATGAAAGAATACATATTTAGTACAAACAAAAGCCAATTTCATTTCCCAGACTTACCCTTCCCCAAGAGAAAAACTGCTATGGGAACTGTTAAAGCCAGGTGATGGGGAATTATTGACATAGGTGATCTCAGGCCAAGGAGAACACTAAAAACAAAGGATAACTTAGATAATGAAAAAGCATATTTAATTCTAGTGTTCCATTAAAATATTATTCCTTGAATAAAACATCTTGATTAGTAAATCTTAATTCCTCAGAGGTCTCCATAAGCAAAAAAGAAGTATGCTCAGAAGTAAATTTAGACAGGCTAGAAATGACAGATTTTTCTTTAAGAGAGTAAAAATTAATGGGTCATAGGTATAGCTCAGTGGTAGAACGCTTGCCTAGCCATACAAGGCCCTGGGTTCAAGTCCCAGCACCACACATACACAAAAAGAGTTAAAATTATGGACTAAAATTGTCACCAAAAGAAATCCTTTTTACCTCTGTGAGTATGGTTGTCTCATAGGAAGGCTGATATTTCTCCTTTTCATGAGGTGTTCGTTTCTCCATTTTCTCTCTATCTGTTTTTTGTTTTCTGTCTGCACCTTTGGGCTGAAATGAGAAATGTTCTATTTTAACCTCAAGTACTCACTCTTTAACCCAACAATATAACTTTTTTTCTTTTTTGGCAATGGAGATTGAACCTAGGCCTTGTGTCAGATACCACTGAGCTACATCCCTAACCCTTTTTATTTTTTATTTTGAGACAGGGTCTCCTTCAATTGCCCAGGATGGCCTTGAACTTGAAATCCTCTTGCCTTAGCTTCACAAATAGCTAGGATTACAGGTGTGCACCACCATACCTGGTTAACAATATTAATTTTAAAAACTTAAATATTCACATCTGAAACAAACAGGTATGTACAATGATGTATGATGAAATGCATCACCCTATCTAAGTCTGAAAACAGGAAATTTAAATGTTTGATACAATTGGAAAAGAATAAGACAGATGGGAAGATCTCTGACGTACATAGTTAACTGAAAAAAAAATCAAGTCTCAAAATGATTTATATAGTATAATTTTATTTATGTTTCAAATAAAGAAAAATATGTGAATACCTATGCATGCATGTATATAAAAGCATAAAAGGGAAGAAGTGTATATACCATGTTATATCAGTGGCTATCTCTGGGAAGAAGTTGGGGAGTTAGGGTAAGAGTGATTAAGGGAAATTTCAGTGTTGTGCTTTGAATACTTTTATATTAATGAGTCATTTGCAATAAGAATGTATTTATCCATGTGATAAAAAGAAAGATCAAAATAAAGAAGATCAGGTATGAATAAAACTAAATTAGTCAACTCTCCACAATTTTTGTGAGCTTTAAAAGAGCTTGTAACTTCAACAGGCTTTAAGAGTTTTTAATGAGAATTCTTTTTCTTTCTTTTTTGCATACAGCCCCCTTTTCCAAGTTCCCATTATTCCATGCCTATACCCACATAAACTAACATGCATCTCAGCAGTCATTTCAATGACTCTAACTTAGACTGACTTTGCAGTTTTTGCAAAATGACAAGTTGACTTTCTTAGTAACTAATGTTAAAATAGAAAGATAAGAAAAAAGTATCCAAGGTCCAGCCCACTGCCCAGGAATACCTTGAAGACTTTGATCTGGCAACTGGCTGAGTGTAAGTGCTCAGTATATTCCCCGTTCTCATTCTCCTTGAAGGTATCAATTTGTACTCGGAATGGCACCCCCTTTTCTCCTCCATGTTTCCTCATTGTGAACTCTGTGCTAATACAGTGTACCTGAAAGGAATACAACATCAAGGCTTTAGTACTACTAGCTAGTCAACAATATTTTTTGAGAAATTACAAACAGCAAAACCTTTAACAAACATTTATGAATACCTACAAAAGACTTTTCCTCCATTTTGCATTCTGAAGAACATACAGTCTAATGTAGGAATTGAGAAAAATGTAAGTGATTTAAGAATGTAAACAAAGTAGATATACATATCTCATGCTATCAAAAGCTATTGTGAGGAACTAAATTTATTAACTGCTTCAGAGAATACAGAGTTCACATAAAAGAGAAATTATTTATGTTAGTACTGTTTCATTTTTAAGGTGGACTTTAGAAAGAGGAGGCAAACTTCATGCTGTGAAAATATGGAAGCTCACAGTAATAGATGAAAAATATTTGCTTGGCTACTGCATAAAGTCTAAAACTGGTGAATCTTAACAATAGAACCTTGTCTGATTGATAACCTACTAGCTTGAGTAAATTACTTAATCTTGGGGCTGGTTGTAGCTCAGTAGTAGAGCGCTTGCCTAGTATGTGTGAGGCCCTGGGTTCAATCCTCAGCACTACATAAAAATAAATAAATAAAATAAAAGGTATTGTGTGCATCCACAACTTAAAATTTTTTTTAATTTAAAAACTTAAAAATTACTCAATCTTTCTAAGCCTCAAAGACTGTTCTTACTCCACAGTATTATAAACGTTAAAGTTATATATACAAAGTGTTCATTTAACACAGTAACTATCTCAATGTTAAGTACTAAACAAACTAATAGCTATCATTAAAATAAAGATTTTTGGGGAAACTACCCAAAGTATAAATGAGATATGCAAATTCAATTTTAAGTATACAGATATTCAAAATATCCTTATAGATAACCGGGAGAATCAGAACAATTTAGACGCTAAATAACTGTTAGGTGAGTTAATGGTACAACCAAAAAATGATATATTATGCAGCCATTAATAGGAATTTTAGGAAGATATAAATAAATAAATTTGGGTAATTAGAAGAGCAATTAAAAAACTCCTCCATGCTTAGGCACATGTTGAGGAATTTGTACATGACAGGTTAAAACCCTGAAAAGAATTCAAATTTAGGGGCTAGGGGTGTAGCTCAGTAGTGAGGTCCTGGGTTCAAACCCCAGCACTCAAAAAAATTTCATATTTAACACATATCATCCATTAAGAAACAAACTGGTAGTAAGAGATGTTCTTCATAACTGGAAATACATTTGCAAGGCCTTACCTGAATAAACACAGATGTCCTCTTTGCAGGGTCCCACAAGAACTCCACTGTATTTAATTGTGTTGGATTAGCCCTAGGATCGATTATACCCACAGACATTGGGATATCTAAGAAACAAAATGGTAATCATTGAATGGTTATGAGGGCTCCTTGTTTTACTTTGTTTTGTTTTGAGATAGAGTCGTGCTGTGTTATTCAGGCTGGCTTCAAACTGTTGGGCTCAAGTGATCTTCTGGTTTAAGCCTCCCAGGTAGCTGGAATAAGTCATGTGCCATCACACCCAAGACTGCTCAGATTTATGTAAGAAAGCACTCATTCTTACATCCCTCATCCCTAGTTACTAAAATTTGGGGGATATAAAATCCATAATCTCTCTTTTTAAAATTTTTTAATATTTATTTATTATTTTTTTTAGTTTCGGCGGACACAACATCTTTGTATGTGGTGCTGAGAATCGAACCCGGGCCGCATGCATGCCAGGCGAGCGCGCTACCGCTTGAGCCACATCCCCAGCCCTAAAATCCTTATGGATTTCTCTTTATTGCCAATGTAAAATTTGATTAATGTTAAAACTGGGAGCTAGGGGTAGAGCTTAGTGGTAGAGCATTTCCCTAACATACACAAGGCCCTGGATACAATCCCCAACACTGAAGAAAATAAAAGTTAACATTGACTGAAGTATTCTCCTTTTGAGTACCTTTCTTCCATTTGACCAAGTCTTTGAAATCAGGCAATTTTAAGACAGTTTTCTTTTAATTTGCTAAAATTATATTTGAAAATAAGTTAGGTCTATATACCAGCTCTACTATCACAAAAACTGTAATTTATGATGAGTTTTATTTATAGTCTGAAGGTTTGTGTTACTGCTGGAAGCACATTGAGAGGATTACTAGACAGGTGCAGCAGTGCCTGTACAAAGGCAGAAAGTGTTATATCACAGACAGAAGCATGAAAAATTTAACAAAGATTGATGCTGACTTACCAAGTCACCAGGTAATCCTATAACACAGTGACAAATATGCTCAAGAAGAAAAAAATTGGGGGCTGGGGTTGTGGCTCAGTGGTAGAATGCTAACACAGCATGTGCAAGGTGCTGGGTTTGATCCTCAGCACTACATAAAAATAAATAAATAAAATAAAGGTATTGTGTCCAACTACAATTAAAAAATAAAATAAAGTTAAAAAAAAAAAGAGGGAAAATTTTTAATGGATTTTAGTAGAACCTTACTTTGTATTCCACTTGGTGTATATTCAAATATCATTCCCTGACTTTTCCTATTAATATTCAAACTAGAGAGATAAGGTTAGGTGATATTACTTATTATCAACCCCATGCTATAACTAAACTCCTGTTTTGGCATCAATGATTCAAACAAGAAAGCATCAAATAGATCCCATTCCACAATATTAGTTGTGTTGGATTCATCTAAGGTCAATTTCTCATACAAATCTCAGGATAACTGTTTGAGAACCACTGATTTCTCAGGTAAAATCAGTAGTTCTTAAGCTTGCTTAACAACTATATCTACCAATAGAAAATATTAACCAACTGCTGGGGGCAATGGTGCATGCCTATAATCCCAGAAACTCAGGAGGCTGAGGCAAAAAGATTGCAAGTTCAAGGCCAGCCTCAGCAACTTAGAGCCTATCTCAAAATAAAAAAAATTAAAAAGGGCTGAGGGTATAGCTCATGATAGAGTGCCCCAATGTTCAATCCCCAGTAGCACCCACACCACACACAATGCTATTCAAAGGGCCAGTAAGCTTATGAAAAGATGCTCAACATCACTAATTATTAAGGAAAATTTAATCAAAACCACAATGAGATATCACTTTACACCCATTACAATAGCTATTTAAAAAAAAAAATTGAGGGCTAGGGATGTGGCTCAAGCGGTAACATGATCTCCTGGCATGCACAGGGCGCTGGGTTCGATCTTGAGCACCACATAAAAATAAAGATGTTGTGTCCACTGAAAACTAAAAAATAAATATTAAAAAATTCTCTCTCTCTCTCAAAAAAAAAAAATTTCATAGGTTGGGGCTGTAGCTCAATGGTATAGTGCTTGCCTGACATTTATATGGCCCTGGGTTTGATTTCTAATACCACATAGACACAGATACACATACACACACAAACACACATTAAGTATTGGAACCTTTGAGCGCTACCGGTGGGAATGTAAAATGTGCAGCCACTGTAGAAAATAGTTCTTCCTCAAAAAAATTAGAATTTAATTCTGTGATCCAGCAATCCCACTTCTGGGTATATACCCCAAAGAAATGAAACCTGAGACTCAAATATTTGTACATCCAGGTACACAGTAGCATTATTCACAATAGCTAAAAAGTGTTCATCAACAGATGAATAGATAAATAAAATGTAGTATATATGTAGTATATAAATATAATGAAATATTACTTAGCCTTAAAAAGGGAAGAAATTCTAAACGTACAAGGCCCTGGGTTTGATCCCCAATACCATACACATATATGCATGTACACACACAACACAAAAAAAAAAAGGAAAGAAATTCTAACATGGAGGAAACACTATGCTAAGTAAAAGAACTCAGTCACAAAGGGATAAATATTGTATGATTTTATTTACATGAGGTATCTACAGTAATCCATTCATAGATTCATAGAGACAGCAAAATAGAGGACACAGGGGCTAGGAAGGAGAGGGGTGATTATTGTTTAATGAGTACAGAATTTCAGTTTTGCAAGATGAAAAAAGTCCTGGAGATGATGGATGGTGGTGATGGTGGCACAATAAAGTAAATGTATTTAATACTGAATTGTACAGCTAAAAATAGCTAAAAAGATAAATTTTATATAATACATTATAATATTACATGTTATCATATTTTCCCACAGTTTAAAAACAAAACAAAACCACCCTGAAGTCATGGATGCAATTGCTACAAAAGTGAAATGTTTATACTTCCAATTTCAATTTTGATACCATCATACAAATAATTTTTTGTGTTTAGTAAATAACCACTTCGAGGCTCATGCTAACTGAGCCTCTGAAGCATATGAATTAATGTAAATGTCAGCTAAAGAAAACAATTCTCAGTCCATCCTTAAAGGCATTTGTCTTAACTCACCTATATCAAGAATTCTATCACCAGGTCGGTTCCACCGCCAGCCCTCCAACTGCTGATGTTCAGTGTACTGTAGCCTTCTGTCATGGAACACTACGCGGAATATACTCTAAAAGGAACAACAAAACCAGTTAACAGGCTGTCTTGAAAATCAGCACTGACAAAGGAAAACTAGTTGAGTCATTGCTAATTGGGTTTTTAGACAAAATCTAAAGTTTTCTTAAGATTATTTCCCTCTAAAACCTGTGCCAGATACCAAGTTCTGTGTCAGGATAAATTTTATAATTTCTCACATATAATCTTTTTTAAGTATTTATTTTTTAGTCATAGTTGGACACAATACCTTTATTTTACTTACTTATTTTTATATGGTGCTGAGGATTGAACCCAGGGCCTCCACATGTGCTAGGTAAGTTCTCTACTGCTGAGCCACAACCCCAGCCCACATATAGTCTTTGTAGTTAACTGTTAGGACTCCTATGTGAAGCATTTCTATATGCTTCTACTCTTACACTACATAATATCTGGCTCAGTTCTTCAGGTATATATGAAAAACTCATCACATTCCCTGCTTGCTAACCAGACATAACCTGAAAACACTTAGGGTTGGTACAGCCCATTTCCATCAACTTTTCTTTTGTTACACTTCCCTTGTGGAGGTGCCTTTTAGTCCCTACCACCACTTTTACAGCTGCTCATAAAAGTCCTTTGTCCCAATTGTGTTATGATTTCTCAAAATCCTTACTGTCAGTCTAGACAAAAAGAACAACTATTCATAAATAGCAGTTTCTGTTTTCCTTGCTATAAGGACCAAGTATCCAAAGAGCCACTGAAGTTTATCTAAAGATCACAAGGAGAAGCCAGAAGAGGTAGTGCAGGCCTGTAATCCCAGTAACTTGAGAGGCTGAAGCAGGAGGATCACAAGTTTGAGGCCAATTGATCACAACTTAGCAAGACCTTGTAGCTCAGTGGTAAAGTACCCTGGGTTCAATCCCTAGCAGCACACGCAAGCACACACACACACACACACACAGTCAAGGAGGTTACTTTACTCCACCCAAAAGAACTTCACTGAGCCACGGGACTACCCTGGACATGAACTAGTAAGCCTTCTGCATCTTTGAAAAAAAACCATGTGAAGAGGGGGAGCTTAATCTGACTCCAAAGAAAAAATACACTAGCTTCACACTCCTCCAGCCAATTGTAACCGATAAGATAAACCATTAAACTCTTAATGAAAACAAAAGAATATTAGACAAAAAAGAAAGAAAGAAAGAAAGAAAAAAATCAATCAAAAAGGGTCAGTAAAAGCATATTGTACAGAAGAATGATTTACTCCTTTTCTTTTACCTTCACCAACTTGCCATTAATTTCTGGAAGTTCTCCAAGTTTCCTATTGTCTAGCATTCGAATTTCATAAGACTGCCCTAGAAAAAAAAATAATTACATAGGGTACTTATCACAAATAAACTTATCTAGGTTCAGAAAGGATAAAATTCAGTTGGCTGTATACACAGGTAACATAAGAATCAGTGACAATCTAAGGCTTTACTAGATGCTAGGCACTGTGGTAAGCACTTTCACGTAATTTTTCATGCAATTTATATAACTTTCTAAGGCATTATCAATCTCACTTTTACAGATATGGAAATTAAAACTGGAAGAGTTTAAGCAACTCATCCAAGGCCACATAACTGGCAAATAGTAGAGTTGGATAGGATAATACTTCTCAGATAGTAACCAGTGGGGACATGGATTAGAACATGGATTAGAAAGAGAGAGCTAGGAACTAAAAACAGACAGGTAGACAAAAGGAGCCAGTCATATATATCAAATGTGACATTAAAACTCAAATCTCTTAAGCAAAGCTTCTAATATGACAAAGACACTCTAGAAATATCTAAATTTTACATTAAAAATGTTTCTAATAAAATAACATGTATTCAGCAGGTCTGCGCTAATATGAATGGTTGAGGAAGCATCTAACCTTGATTGAGATAGGTCAGAGTTTCATCATGAAGTTTCACTGCTGGAGAGGTGGCAGCACAAAGCACATATTGAAAAGGTAGGATTTCATTCTCGTTATCAGGAGGCAAACTTGACTCTTCTTGCTTAAAAATGGGCAATGCAAGGACATCACTAAAATAAAACAAACAACACACTAATATCAGACAATGAGGCAAAAGCAGATTTACGGTCCAAAAAATTTAACTCCAATTTGCTTTGGAAAAGTCATAAACATTCCTTACTTTGGTACAGTTTCATCCCAACCATTCAGTTCAGATTACCTGCTGTAATAGCCCTTGACCACAACAATCTAAGTGATGACAGACATCCGCTACTAAAACCACCCAAAGACAGAATTTCTAGGAATCATTGTCAGAGGGTCCTAAGGGCTCTGAAAATTATATGCAGAATTCCAAAATGTAAATTTAGGACACTCAGGGATGTGCTTTGGATATGGTTTTAGTATGTCCCTAAAGGTTTTGAGCTGGAAGCTTGGTCCTCAGTGTGGCAATGCTGAGGTAGTAAAACCTTTAAGAGGTGACGCCTACTGGAAGGTAATTAGGTAATGGGGCACCCCTCTCAAAAGGGATGAATGCAGGTCTCTTGGGACTGCATTAGTACCTGAGAGAATGGGTTGTTATAAGGGTGCTTGGCATCTCCCTTGAATATCTTTATTAGGTACATTTCTCACCAGGCATAGCTGCAAACACCTGTAATTCCAGTTCTCTGGAGGCCAAGGCTGAAGGCTCACTAAAGCCCAGGAGTTCAGGGCAGGCCTGGGCAATATAGAGGAACCCTGTCTCTTAAAAAACAACAAATCTAAGTGTATTTCTATCACTCTGACACATTCTGATGTCATCTGCCAAGTGGCCCTCACCAAAGCCATATATCAGTGCCATGCTCTTGAATCTCTAGAAGTGTGTGCTACATAAACCTCATTTCTTTATTCTTCACCCAGCATTAGGTATTTTGTTAAAGCAACTCAAAATGGACTAATATACTCAGTACTGTATTTGCTTTCACAAAGGCAACTACAGTAACTTTATAACCACATTAGCTGATCTACTATAAGGACTAAAATAATTTTTATAATTCTTTAGAAGCCGCATAAAAAGAGCAAATCAATTACTAGTACATATTTCAAAGTGATCTAACTTTATGTGGAATAAAACTAATATTGAGATGTCCCTACTAGCTATCTCCACCAAAAAAAAAGCTTCTTATATCTATCAGGTTTCCTAAACTTGCAAACAAAAGATATACCAAAGAAATTCAATGAACTCTAGTATGCTAGGCATTCTCAGGTGCTGGGATAAGAGTACTGGATTAGGTCAGAAACTATAAATTTCAGTCCCGGAAAACTTAGGCAAATTATAAGCCAGCTTCCTTGAATCTTCATTCCTTCATCAACAAAGTGGGAACTGCATTTTATGTCAAGAACAAATAGAACTGTGTGCTAAATAAACCTCTTTTCTTTAATATTATTTTTTTTAGTTGTAGGTGAACACAATGCCTTTATTTTATATATTTTATTTTTATGTGTGCTAAGGATCGAACGCAAGGCCTCACACATTCGAAGTGAGTGCTCTACCACTGAGCTACAACCACAGCTCCTCTTTTCTTTATTCTTTATTCCAGTAACCTCAGTGATTTAGGAGGCCATGGCAGGAGGATCACAAGTTCAAGGACAGCCTCAGTAATCTAGCAGACTCTGTCTCAAAAAAACAAAAAGGGTTGGGGATGTAGCTCAGTGGTAGAACACTACTGGGTTCCATCCTGGTACTGTAAACAAACAAACAAACAAACACAGAGAAATGGATATAAAATGGGATCATCACATTGCTCTGGTGACTTTGTATATTTTTTAAATTTTTATATAATTAGAAGTTTTAAAAAAAAAGGAAAGAAAGAAAATATTGATAGGCCACAGAGTACTTCTGGTACTTCTGGATACAAAAGACAGGGAACAGGATACATGAAATAAAATAAACAATTAAGATTCCTCCAAAACCCTCATCATTATATGAAATACATGTATGAAGATGTGAATTTGGTGTCAACATACCTTATATACAATCAGAGATATGATAAATTGTGGTATAAAGGTGTGTTAAGAATTGTAATGCAAAAAATAATAATAAAAAAAATTTAAAAAGATTCCTCCAAAAGGTTAAAAGTTAGAAATCTAGTAATTCTTGTTAACATTCTCCACATTCACAAGGAAATAAACACAAACCTTATCTATAAACATTATATTATATAGAAAGTAAAATCAATTTTTTACATGAACAGAGGAAAAAACAATTCCTTTTATGTACTTATATCCCTCAGCAGTATACACCAATTCCCTAGTACATTAGATTATAGTGTGATTGTAGGCAGGCAAAAAACATATTGACAGAAAGTTGACCATATTCAAGGCTATGGGTGTAGCTCCTTGGTAGCCTGCTTACCTAGAAAGTGGACTATACTTGTGAATCTTTTTTTTTTTTTTTTTGGTACTAGGGATTAAAAACAGGGATGCTTAACCACTGAGCCACATCTCCACCCCTTTTTACATTCTATTTTGAGACAGGGTCCTGCTCTGTTGTTTAGGGCCTCACTAAGTTGCAGAGGCTGGCTTTGAATTCATGATCCTCCTGCCTCCTAAATTGCTGAGGTTATAGGTGTGTGCCACCAGGCCTGGCATGAATCTTAAAGACAACATTAAAATTCTCATTGGAAAACAAAACAAGCAGCCAATGTTCTTATTACTGGCCTAGTGTACACATGCATGATTGTACAAATTTAATGGCATGAACTCTAAAAATTTCTTTCCGATGATGTTTAAATAGCAAGGATGTATGTTATTAGTTGAATCCAGGTAGCCTAAATACAAATCAGACTTTATGAAATAGTTTCTAGTTGCTAAAAATTATTATTATTATTATTATTATTATTATTAAGACCATAAACACAAAAGGTGCTTTCCTCTTCTTAGGCCTGAACATGTATGTGTTTTGCTCATGTGGGTAGAGTTAAGAGCGGAGAAAATGGGGAATCCTTCTTCCTATCCATATTAATTTGTTATGTAAACAAATGTTCCCTGGAGAGTATGTAGAAGTACAGAAGCATAGAGTTTTCTAGAACTCTGTCCTAGTTCTCTAAAAATCAGGAAGCTACCATGGTTTCCACAAAAAATAGTATAGAAAATAAAGCAAAACATCACAAATCTTGAGAAACACAGGTACCAGTCTTTGGGAGACTTGACTGATATTATTCTCAAATTCATCACCTCTGATGATTCCTTAAAAGATTAGTGAAAATTACCAGGAATGAAGGGAAGCAGCATTTTTGCAACTGAAACAGCTCAACTCTGATTATACAGGGTTTTGGTTTTTTTGTTTTGGTTTGGTTTTTCATCTCAAATGTCACTGGCAAGCAAGGTTAACATAGAGCAACAGTTCCTAGTTTCTGCATCATGGGGATTACACTGAGCCCTCTTATGGCTAAACAAAGGATGTCACTTGGGGCTAAAATTATTTTCTTAAATATTTTATTCCATTCTAAGACAGGGTCTCACTAAATTGCCAAGGCTGGTCTCAAACTTGCCATCTGCCTGCTTCAGCCTCCTGAGTAGCTAGGATTATAGTCTTGTGCCACTGTGTCCCACTTAGGGCTAGAATTCTAAAACTGACCTCTAAAAGTTATCCCTAAACTTAACTCAAAATAGTACAGCCAAATCAAATACGTAAGATTACATTTCCTCATCAGAGATTTCAAGAATCTATAAACCCCAAGTATATTTGAATTATTCATGTTCTTGCTATATTGCATTTCTTTTACTCTATTGGGGGTACAAAAGAATAACATTTGATTCCACATTCCCAGAGATGGAGCCCAAAGATAGCTAGTACAGTTCTAGGCCCTTGCTTATTCCCAAACAAAAATACATTCAACAAAAACCAATTCTGAAAATCTGCTCTTAGAGATTAATTGAGTACAGATTAGGAAAATTCCCTCTGGTAACACTCTAAGTAGTTGCTGCCATTGTATAATTTAGAATTTTATTATATTCTCTGATTGCTTCATATACTTAATTCATTTCAATGAGGCATATGCTATTTGAAGGGATGAGTTCTCTTTTATGTGCTGAGCAAATTTGTTGATAGGATTTATACTTCATTTATTTGCATTCCCCAGAATACTCAGTGCTATATACATTGTGATCATTTTGGCATTCTTGACAACTTATCAAATCTCTTCTGAACAAATAAAAAGTTACAAAAAGCTTACTTGTTAAAGGGATAAGTTGATTTGGCTGTACTGTTTTGAGTATATGTTAAAAATGTGTACTCCCCGGTGGAAATTCACACCTGACAGTGAAGGCATGTCAGGAAAGCATTTGAGTGGAAGTAAAAGAGGAACAGAAGCAATATGAAGAGTGAGCTTTCCTAAACATAACTAGGATTCCGTGAAGAACTGCTATTGCCCAGTTAATAGGGCAGCCCCTGAACAATCTCAACGAAATCATAAGTATGGCCTAACTTTCTCCCTTCAGGCCTATCAGCTGCTAAGATGCTCTCCTCCAGAAAGAGCCTGGGAAAGGGAAGGGGACAGGACAAGCAGCAGATAAGCATCTAAGTAGGTTAGAAACTAACTTGGGACAATAAGATGTCATGAACTTCAACTACCCTATATGTAACTTTCATTTACTCTCCAAAATGATGAAAATAAAGCATATAAAACAAAAACATTCTAATATACCTAAGTCGGCTACTGCATGAAGTGGCAAGAACTTAAGAGACTAAGGACAGCCTCAAAAGAAAAAAAAATCCAGTAAATTATTTGTAGTAACAACCTTAAAGATGAGAGGTATTAAATAAAATTATAGAAGGCCATTGTTTTGGACTAAGCTCCTTTACTAAGCCCCAACTGTCTAAACTAAAAATCAACATGGAGTCACTTATGCTATGGTATACTCTCACAAGTTGAAACTAAGCTCTTTATCTTTCCTTCTGATAAATCAGAATTATTAATGAAATTCCCTCTGCCTTAGGTCTTTCACAGAAAAAGATAACCTGATGGTAAAGTACCCGGGTAGTAACCAGTTATTTTCCTATTGTTTTGCCTCCCTTCCTGTTGTTGCTGCC